TATCCCTTTCCCCTTCCAGCCTGTTTTATAGGCTGTGAGGCTCCCTGTTAGACTTTCTACACCCCCTTTGCCCGCTTTGCTGTAAGCCAATCCTCAAGGCACAGCGAGGGAGATAGGGGGACGGTTAGATTCTGAATCTACCACCACAGGGCTTAACACCTTTCAGGGCTGCTAAGAGTTCTTTAGCTAAGGTAATATATATCTACAATACTCTACAGGTGTGGCTTTCTGTGTCTCACCTGTATGATGTCATGATTCCCTGCAATCAGGGCTACGAGGGCTGAGGCCATCATCAATATCAGTGCGATTTGATAGCAGTTGTGAATGATGTTGTCAATTTTGTCACCTCAACTTAGTTAAAACTACTAGTGCTATTTGTGCATCCAATTAACTGGCTGCTACGGATACTACAGTTACTGTTAGAATCAGTGCACAGTAATGATAATACTGTAACCACTTAAAGTGTCATGTAAATAGGTATGTATTTTTGTGAGTGTTCAAACTCTTCTCTGTGTTCCAGCACAATCACTTTCATCTCGATCATGGAAATAATTTGCAGGCTAGTGCTTCTATGGAACAGAGCACAATGCACAGTGAGACTGAGAGTTTACTAAGAGAGAGTTAAGAGAGAGAAATATACTGTGAAGGTGGGAGGAAGGGAAAAGACAGAGAAGGGAATGCAAGCACGTTAGCCAAGAAGGAAGGGTGACAAGAAAAATGGCAGGGAGAGGAGGGGCGGGGAACGTTTTAAAGACGCAGGATTAGAAAGAGGAAGAGAAGAAAGGAGGGAGGACGGGGACAGTGTTCATGCAGCAATAGGAGGAGAAGCGGTGAGACACTATGCGAGACAGTGCTGGCGGTAGAAGCAGAAACATGCAGGAGAAAAGTAATAAATCCACTCATCAGTAGTTGTTCCATCCATCCAGCTCATCCATCATTCTCTGTAGATATGGTGTCGTTTGCGACAACCACACAGGGAAAGAATGCTTCCTGTCAGGAAGCCAGAGATTTTGGTTTTTGGATGTCTTTCTGTGACATATTGATATAATGTATAAAGATTGTTGACTTGGATGCAAATGAAGATCTTATATAAAAAAGATATACCGAATATTTCCTGAATCATTCTGTCTATCATACTTTTCTTTGGGGCAATATTTGCATAATTTCTAAGGGATCTAAGATGCACAAATTTTTGTGTTGAAAGAAAAAGAAAAAGAAACAACAAATATGGAACAAAACAACTAAAAACAAAAATCCAAAGAGTAGCAGATTGCTGCTGTTTGACTTAATCTGACTAAAGTGGACCAAAGGGACTGACCACATGGGCCTGATGTCACAGCTATAGGCGGCTCAAAATGGCTCTGGCTGTGATGGGCATCTGTCCGTGTGTGTGTGTGGATAAATGAGGAATGAATGGATTCACAAGCTGGCACTGCTGCAAAAGGCAAATACGTCAGTAGGTTTGTCACTCCACTGAATCATCGGTGGGCGATGCCAGATGGACGGACGAGGTGCAAATTGGCTGATTTGTAAATACACCAAGAGAGCAATGAGGGAGTCTGGTGACTGATGGAGCCGGAGACAAATTAAGACTGACACACTGACGTGCAGACAGACTAATGAAGATGATGTAGGGTGATAGAGGAGTGGGCTTGGATGTCTGTGAGAATTGGTAATGCTGAGACTGCAAAAGTACAGAGAAGAAATGTTCTGAGGGAGCAGCAGAAGTAGTGCGAAAAAAAGGGAGAAGGAAGGAAGTTACCATATATAGGCATCCACTTCTCCTTCAGCAGTATTTTTTCATTCCTCCCTCTTCAAAACAAGTCTGTAGGTGTGCGGATGTATAGCAACTCCTTTTCTTCTTTAATTTAATTTGCCCACTGTTTTCCTAAAGCTCTCTCCATCCCTCAAGGGCAGAGGAAGACCGGAAGGTGATGGTCCTAGTAGCTTCAATAGAGGTGACGAGGGCAAGGCCAAGATGTTGTGGGAGTGAAAGAGTAGGAGGTAATGTTAGAAAGGTACGCACACACATGCACAGAGATGCACTCACAAAGCCAGTCAGCCTTCAAAGGAGAAAAACCTCACACAATCTTCGTTTCATCTGGTTGTGAGAGTTACAGAAAAACGACTGCCTCTTCCAATTTTTTTGTGAATGGAGCTCTTGATTATAAGAAGAATGATTTTGTGAAATATTCGGTGTGTCGCTGTTTAGTCTCTTATTGAGTCTCCTGGAGGAGGTCAAACTGAGCCTGGGTGCTCTTCAGTGGCCATGACAGTGAGGTCACTGTCAGACGACCAAAGTGCCAGTTATACCATTTCCCCCAGTTTCCTTGTCCTGTTTGTCAGTGTGCACATTCTGTGTTTTGTATCTGAGAATGAAATAATAATTCTATATGACAGATTGGCTTATTTGTTATTTATTTTTACTGTAAAAGAAAAAAAGATGTTGTTGAAAGATGCAGCATAAAGAAAGAATAAATTCATACTTGTTTTAACAAAATGTTTCTGTGTGGGCGTTTCATTCTATGTCTTGGCTATTGTCCAGTCAAACACCCAAAGCTATCAAAGCGAACGTACACACACACACCTCCAGATACACACGTGAACACAGACACACTTGCCATTGTGTAAGTCCTCCAGGCAGTTGTCCAGCTCCCTCAACTGTGCAACCATTCAGCAGAGACAGACAGAGAACAGGAAGCATGGACATAAAAACACAGCAGTGTAAACCTCATTACTAAGAACTTCATTACTACTCTATGCACTACAATGCTCAAATGACATCATTGACAACACATGCTCTTGCACTATTCTGACAGCATGAATCAAAAAAGAGACAAGACAAACAATAATAGTACTCAATAATAATTATTAGCATTGTTGATCACCAGTGGATATACAATTACTGTTAGGATGATTTTTCAATTTTTAAATTAAAACAATTATTTTGATGTGGTGATATTATCACATATTAACACATCATATATACCCCAACCTGTTGTGGACATGTGGTTATCTGTTCTAACTAAACCTAAACCTATAAAGGTTAGGTTCACATTTGTTACGTATTCATATGCTCATTTGTACATTGCAGTGGTTATTGGTTGCTGTGATCATTTCTCCTGTTGATACTGGCAATCAAGAGAGCCCTTCTGAATGTGATTCCAATTTAAGTCATGAAGGACAAAAATCTTCTGTCTTCATTCAGAAATTCATTCAGAAGTTCAGCTGTAGTTAATGTAATGCTTCAGCAGTCTGGGGTTGTCAGGTCAAGTGGGTATTTTCTAAAGTTACAGTTGAACTGCATTGTAAGAACAGTAATAATAGAAAGAGCTTTACAGGAGTAGCTACAAACCTCCAACCATGTCACTGATTTTTGGTGAAACTGATATTTTATGGAAGAAATGTTTTCTGGTTTTCACTCTAATGTCCACCAGAGTTTACTGATGTACAGTAAAGTAACTGCTGCAAAATGTAGCTGCTGTTAGCTAGTTAGCTCAGCCGTACTTTCCAGGACTAGGTGCTCAGACCATCAGGGGAGTGTTGGTGTTTAGACTGCTCGCAGGATCCAAAGCGTGAAAGAACTTATCAGGCCTTGGATGGGATCGGGGGGTTGCTGATGCTGGCGTTATGCCAGAACTGGAGCTGGGTGAGCAGGCAATGTAACCGGGCTCGGCAGGTTCAATGAACACAGCTAATGGCAGAGGCGAGGAGACCTAACAGGACGACAAAGGAAGCTAAGTAGAGTGAAAAGGAGGGAGAAGCTGTCGGTAACTTTTAGTCGTTGGAGAGGTTTGTAAATTGCAGACAGCTTGCAAACTACTGATATTAGCTGGCTTGCAATGTCTTGTATCGTTGCACTTGCTTGATGTTTGTTAGAAAAGTGGCAGACTCGCTAGTTTTTGATCATAAGTAATGTAATCATAACAAATGCACATGTACAGCTGTCCATATTTACCACAGCTCTTTAACAGCACTACCAGCTGTTCTGCAGCTAAATGGTTTGCTTTTGCCTCTTTAGAAATACTTCTGATATTTATAAGTGCATTTGCAGCAGTTAGCATTTTAGATTGGTTGTTGTCATGGGAACTTTGCATCAGTTATTGGCCGCGCAGGTAAATATACAAAAACAATTATTTGGTAGGCAAAGAAGATTAAAACTTTTTGTCAATACACAGTTCAGCAGGCAATGCACAAATCGAGAAAAAGAAAATGTTTTGTGATCCAAATGAACCATTATGGGACCAAATCATTTCTTATACGCACATTTCAACTGTACCAGACTTTATCCTGAGCAAACAGAAAGCTGTTACATACAAAAGTCACAGACTCACACTGCAAACACACACACACACACAGATCACACAGTGTGGCATGGAGCTCTCCTGCTGGAATCACAGCTCGTCATGCCTATATAAGGATGCAACATGCACATCAGACATACTTCTCTTTCCCATTGGTCTCCAAGCTTTTGTGTGGCAGAAAAATTCCATGACGCACCTTCTTCGCAGAGCACATACAAACTGCGTGGGTTCGATTGGAGGACGGCCATGTCACTCAACCATAAGACACAGTTGGAGGCGGGAATGTGTCTGTGGAAGCTACAGTATGTTGAATAGATGAATATTAATGACTCCCAGTTTATTCATGAGAAGAGAGGGAGCAAAACCGAGATGGGGAGGGTTGCTGTGAGCTTCTTCAAGTGCGTCACTACTTTGTCACAACTTGCATCTACCTGCTGGGCCCCCATCCCTCTCGCTTACTCCCCCCCAACATACACAAACACATATTCACAAAGATGCAAACAATTTCTCACTTTCTCATGCACATACGCAATTTGCATGTTGTTCATCCTTTCAGACTCCTATATAACAAATCTGATATCTCTTTCACTTTTTGTCGCCAGGTCTCTGCACTTTCATGTCCCCCATGTGCCCTTGACGTCATATCCTCTGCTCCTTATATCGCTACACTTTGTCATTCCCCTTTTCTTTCTAACATGTGACCTCCAGCTTGAGCAGAAAAGCTCCTCTGATTCATGGATTTTCTCACACTCATTCACAGGGTTAACTAGAAGTGTGTCACTTCTATCCTCCCATTGTCGGTGAGTCTGTTCAATCTGGAGCTGTGACTATATTTGGTCTATGCTCTGAAATACTGTTTACTGTTCACTTTTATGTTTTCCTCTTTAAATTATTCACATTATTCTGTTGTTTATGTCATTTTTGTCCTTTTGTTCTTCCTCAGAGCCAGTGGGTATCTGAATATTTTCCATATCAAAGACATGAGAACAGAAGTCAGAGACTTTTGATGTTGTGTGCAGCCATGTAACGCTGCTGTTGTTGGTGCAATGTATGTTATTTCATCTCTAAGTTATGCTTGGAAATGTGCTTACATTAAAGGCAACACTTTTTACATCTCTATGGTAATATCTGAGTCAGAGGTGAGTGACGTTATGCCACCTACTATAGATGCTCAGACAATACAAAACAGACCTCCTGTGCAAATAGATATTGAGCACAGCCTGCTCAATGTGTGTGTGTGTGTGTGTGTGTGTGTGTTTATGCGCAACAAAAAGACAGAAAAAGGTGAAAAGTCACTGACGCCAATATGGGGTGGAAAACGGACCTTGCTGTTGACAGAATGAGATGAAAATGAGAATTTGTGTGAAAGAGAGTGAGACAGAAAGATAGCAACAGAAGAGGTGTGATGCTTGAGTCATGTACTTGGATCCCTTCACAGCCGAGAACATTTGGAAGGCTTAAGTGTGCACGCACACACGTGCGAACGCACCCTCGTTGGCAGCTCTCGGCATGCTGGTACGCCTTGAGAGAGGCCCACTGGGAGACAGACGTTCCTCATCGCATCACACAAGCGGGAACCACGCAAATGCATGCCTGCACACACGCACACCCACAAAGATGCAGACAAAAGGTACACTCTTACGTGCATAAACAGCATTTTCGCACCCAGGTGGCCTCAAAATATCTGCATGTTTTTGAGACATAGGCGTTTGCATTTCAGTGTGTATTTTAATGTTTCTCAGGAGACAAGTGCGTCATGAACTGTGCTGTGATCCTGTTCCCCTTGCAGATGTATTTTAAAAAAATTTTACCCTTTCACAGAAATATTGATGTACGCAAGTAAAACATTGAGTGTACCAAACACACGCATATGCAAATATGTACCAGCACAAACACACAGTAAACAGACGGAGACCCTCGCATACAGATGTCTCAGATGGACTCTGACATCATCTGTCAGGTTGTCATTTAAAGTGAGATAATAGAGAATGGGGGGGAACAGAAGGGCTGGACGCAAAGGGGGGGGAACAGAAGGGCTGAACGCAAAGGGTAACAAGGAGGAGGATGAGAACAGAAGAGAGAACAGAGAGAACACTTTGCTGTCATTGTGGGTCATGACAACAATGTAGTTAGCACCTGCTGTGTCTGCCCTTTCCTCCTCCTCTCCCGTTTTTCATCGCAAAACTCTTTTCACACTTTGCTGAATTCTTTCCAACCCTTTTCAATTATCACCTCAAATGAAAGTCGCTGAACTCACATTAAGTGGGATATGGTTAGAGTATACTGACTACATGGTTAATCTCCAAGAAAACTGCAGTCCATGTCAACTCACAAGTCTTCATAAACAAGTTGTAAGCCAGTTTCAAGCCCTACAGGTTGTTCAGGTCTCTGAGTATTACGCCTATTCCAGCACTATGTACCATTATGCTCTGGAGCAAGTGCGTAATGTTTTACAGCACTAAGTCACACACCACCAACTATGTCACTAATTTTGGTGAAACTGGATCATATTTTATGGAGAAAGGGTTTTCTGGTTTTCCCTCTGATGACCATCGGCTCCTCCGCCTTAACTCTTTACATAGTTTCCTGATCTGGACCTCCAGAACTGGAGCTGGGCGAGAGACCTAGGAGGACAACGGATGAAGCTGAGTAGAGAAAAGGAGAGAGAAGCTGTTGGTAATTCTCGGACTGTCTTTTAGTTTGTGAAATAAAAGGCAGCAGACAGACTGTGAGCTGGCTTTCTCAGTAATATTAGCTGGCTTGCTATGTCTTGTGTTTTTTCACCCGCTTCATGTTTGGCTGTGTTAGAAAAGTTGCAGACTCGAAATTTTTTGATAATTAGTAATGTAATCATAATCAAATGCACATGTACAGCTGGCCATTTTTACGACAGTAGTATTACAACTGGGGACGGCAAAACGCAACAAATAACAAATCTGAAATGTCACATTAATGGAAAAAATTAGAAATGCTTACAGAAAAACTTTATTCTGTTTAAGGATGAAATCTGGTAACTCTTCCTCTTTTATTTAGGAAGTGACCATAGTCTGAGCAATCTTGTGGAACATTTTTACTGTTTCTTTTTTTCTTTCCCTTTTTTCACTTCCCATTTTTTTCCAGTTTGTAGGTATATAATAATTATGTACATGCAATAAATGTATCAGTGTTCATTATTGGTCTAATATTGACATACTTTACATTCCTAATAGTTCAAACACGTAGGTAAAAGGACGGATGAATATGAATTTATTGCTCTGTCTTATATTCATTGTTTGGGGATTTTACCAAGCCGCCATTTGGCACTTGAATGTAGTATAGGAATACAGTGCAGATAAATCAAGTCTTGCAGGTTCTTATCGATCCTGGTGGAGCCTCCTGCCATGGTCCTGCTAGATTGCCATTGCCAATACTGTTGTTGCTGTGCACCTGTCTGTCTGTCTGTCTGTCTCTCTCTCTCTCTCTGCCTCTCTCTCTCTCTCTCTCTCACCCCAACTGGTCGAGACAGACGACCACCCACCTAGAGCCGGAGGATCTGTCCTAGGCTTCTGCCTTTTAACAGGCAGTTTTTCCTTGCCCTTGTCGCCAAGTGCTTGCTCATGGTGGTACAGTTGGGTCTCTGTAATTAATGTTTTAAAGAGTTCGGTCTAGACCTGCTCTATTTGAAAAGTGTCCTGAGGTAACTTCTGTTATGAATTGGCGCTATACAAATAAAATTGAATTGAATTGAAATCACATTTTCTTTATGTTTGAGTTTGCATCATTTTGGATTTAAATTATAGAAATATGAAATGTGTGAAACTACAAGTAGTCCATTGGTAAAATACATTGTTACGTATGTTACTTGTTCAAGCTTTTCAATGATTCAGTTTCCTGTCCAGTCCGTCTCTTCAAGTTGGTGACATAACATAAAGAAAGACCTTGCACTTCACCACCCACAATACACACACAAGTGATGACGGTGATCAGATGAGCATGTACGTAATATATATTGACAATATACAATATCTTTGAAGCATTTTTTTTAATGAAAAAAAACTTCAGTGGTGGGTACGGCCATGCACATAAGAAGTGACTGTACGCAACAAGAAGTAAGGGTACTCGTGGACAAAAATCTGAAGTTCCGGTACTTAGTACGGGTGAGTACAGGCCCATTTCTGGCACTGTGTGTGGTTAAATTTTTGATGAGATGCGCACAAGCCTACGGTGCAACTACAGAGCCTATGCACAATGCCTTCGCAGGTACGGCATAAGGTAATATAACTAGCAGCTGACGTCATGGGCACACCTGAGGTTGCCTGTCATATGAAAAACTTAAAAACTTCTGAACGATAAATAATTTGAACTGTGCATATATTTTATGGTCTTGAGGAAGCAGTGGTTGGTCCCACAGTAAATTCTTTTGGCTAATGTTAATAACTGCCACAGGCTAAAAAGCTCAGAGAAAATATTTCTGGAAACTAAGGGGGTGGGCATGTCTGATCTCTCTATCTCATATAATCATGATACAGCACCAATAAATTAGTCCTCCTACCCACAGTTCCCACTCCTCGGTGTCCTAGTTTCCCTCCTTGCCTCGCTGATTAAAACTGTCACAAGCTTTAAGCAAAATGACTCTGTGAAGCCGGCCCTCTGCGCATCGCTGCCCCCTTCTTTCTTACTGTTTTCAAGTCCAAGTTTTTTGGACTCACATGGAGCCTCTCCACCTGTTTTCTCCTAATCACTCCTCTCTCTCATCTTTCCTGCAGCACAGAATGAAACTTTGTGTTCATCCCAATATCTTCCCACCTCTTTGTCTCTTTCTCTTTCCAACTCTCTCATCTTTCTCACCCTGTTCTCTCTCGTCTTTTCTTCTTCTCTGCCTCCTCTCTGTCATCCTCGAGTACGTTCTGTTCTACCGGTGATGACTAGCTGTGTCTCTGAGGTGGCACCTCAGTCAACAGTCATTTACACTCATTTTTTAATTAATTTTTTCTTGATTCTACTGAATGGACAGGTTGTATTTCTAAAAAAATCGCAAGAGGTGCTTTAAACTGTTGAGGTCCATCAAATGATTTGTGATTACAAACAATTTGTGGTGCTCATACAGTAATTTGTAGGCCTTTTCTCTCCAAATAACCAAATACATTTCCAACGACTTAAAATCAGAAGGACACTTTACCACAAAATTTAAACTTGATACATTCTTAATATGGTTCTCACCATGGAGCATTTTATCCTATTATATTTTATTATAGCGTATTAGTGTTTCTTTTTAAATTATTTAAAAAGAATCCTATTTATATGTCTATATTGTTTTTCTTTCTTTATTTCTTGTCTTAAAGAATAAATTAACCCCCTTTGGAAATCTTGTTTTTGCTGACTTCAATGGTTCAACCTTGCTGCAGTGATGTAGTAGGACACTCCAGGACCCTGTGACATCATGGTCCCCTACATGTGCAACAAAGAAAATTTTTCACAACCAACCACACTCACCATCAGTGATACTGGGCATGGCACTGGCAGGTTCCCTGCACCCCAAAATGTGCATGGCACTGAGTTCAGTCAGAATATATCAGAGGCAATACATTTTTCATTGTTTTGTATCTCCTTCCTCATAAAACATATGCAAAGCCATTCTTAAAGTATTTTTTTAAATCCTGCATTGCAACAGAATAAGGAAGACGGGTCTCTTGAAAAGGTTATTTGATAAATCTTTATCCCACATCGATTGATGTTAGCTACATGAACTTGGCCAGGTGTCAACAACGTCAACTGGAGGTGCTAATGGACCGCATTATCTGGAGAAAAGGATAAAGGAAATCAGAGGATTTCGTAACCAATCAGCATCCTTTGAGGAAGTCCTGGCAGCTGTTTGTTAAAATACAATGCTTCTAGAATCAGTAATATCCAAAAGAGTATTTCTTCATTGAAAGGCTTTTCTCAGTGGAAAAGATGTATTCACCTCTTGAGTATTTTTTTAATGTGCCTGTCCTTTTCCTAACAGTTTCCAACAACGACTTCCCAGATGGTTCTGTGTAAAATGTACAAACCATCTGGCACGGTCAGGTTAGACTGGGCTGTCTATGAAGCCAGTGGGGCCAACCAAGGTAAGTTAGTCTGAGCATACAGTATAAGTAATAGACGACAAAGGTCCAGTATGTATCATTTAGAAGAATCTATGGGTTATTATATTCAGTCTACTAATTAGTGTGTCAGGAATCATTGTGTTTCTATTACCTTAGAATTAGTTTTTTTTTATTGACAATGGGAGTGGGTCCTCTTATATAGATTCTGCCATGTTGAACCATTTCTACAGTAGCCCAGAATGGACAAATCAAGGTGGCTCTACCACCAGATGCAACTAAATCCTACACACTGGTCCTTTAAGGCGTCAGTATGCTTCTTCAGAAATCTTTGTTGGCTTGACGAAGAGTAAAACCCCACTCCCACACCTTTCTGAAATCAGATTGGTAGGGCTGTGTCTGACCATTCCTGTGTTCCTGAATATAAACAACATGCTCAAACACCTCCACCCCCTGTTATGATGACTGGCTTTTCACTTTTACTCAGTTTATGCTTGATCAGGGTAGATTTGTAAAACGTGTTTTCTGACCATGTTGGTTGCCACACTGGAAGGGTGAAAAGCTAGCCATCATAAAGGAGGAGACGCAATATCTTTTAAATACGGGGATAATGGCGCACGTTATCAGACAAAATCATTCACAGTGTTGCACTTGATTGTCACATGAAAAGAGAAAGAAATAGACAAGAGAGAGAAGTTCAAACCCTCGCTCATTTCTCATCACTTCACACCTGACCAATGCTGGCAAGAAGTGGATGAGAATTTGCTGGTTAAGGAAAGTTACAGAAATGGTCAGCTATGGCCCCCCTAGTCTGACGTCAGAAAGGTGTGGGGGAAGAGGGTTTCTGAAGCAATTCAAACATCCTTCAAGGTTAAAGTAACCCCTTTAACCTCATTGATATTGTCTAATCCAATGTGCTAGGGTTAAAACAATCAAAAGATAGCACTGTGTATTACTTTCTGATCACTGTAGACTGTTTGAGGGTGACTAATGCTCACCAGGAAGCAGGAGTAGCATCAGCAAACACAACTTGACCCGAGGCATGGTGGGGGAACAGGGAAATGACGGACCAGGACAGAGGCCTCCACACTGTAGCCCACTCAGCACTAACTGAACAGCCTGAGCTGCCTGGGATTTGACTCAGTGCAGCGCTCACTAACAAACATTAACAAGGACAGTTGTTTCCCTACAGAGTAAGTGAGAGATCTGCTGCTACTCTGAAGAAGCTGTGTTCCTGGCTCTCGTCCAGTTCTCTCTTCTCCTTTCCAGTCAGAGCAGAGGAATTAGAATAAACGACAGCGGAGTTCACTACCTCCTGAATCCCTCTGGAATACGGCTGCTTTTAGAATTTTTTTGGGAGTTTGATCATACAGACACTTAAACAATAGCATTTTCCCACATAACTGTATAATTCCAGCAGTGTGGTCTCTGCTGAAAAGCCTCCAATATCCCTTAAATGGCCAAACACGTCTGGGATGGTCTGGACCTGCAGGGTACTGCACCTTTTTATGAGTTTTGACAAACTGCTCCAAAATTGTTTAATGTCCTCTTTCAAAGGTGTGGGTTGCCCATATAAATTATGGTGTATTTACATTCTCTGTGGGAAGGTTTTATAGATGGCAGTTCACAGTTTGCATGGTTCAAATTTTAATGCATAAAGAAAATGTGTCTCGTATAATGGCTTTAGCTGTGGGTGCCTTTTGAGTTTCCTGAGTCACCAGCTAAATTAGGTTAAAAACAAGCTATCACTCATGCCACTGCAACACTAGGATAAACAAACAAGAAAAAATATCTAAATGTGTCTGGGGGATCACCAGATATGGATGAAAGTGTGGCTAATCAGGCAGAGGCTTAAATGACATAACAGACTTATGTGAAACTCTCGTGGTTCTGAGAATCAGTCTGACTTTGGAATCAATAAGCAGAAGATGAAAAGCAGCAAATATTTTTTCTGGCAAGGACTACTTGATGATGTAACGACTAACTGACAGGAAACTCTGTCTGAATCTGAATCCCAGGTGCTACCAGTAATATCAAAGTTTAGACTGAGATTTTGTGGCTGCGTCATGAAACAGCCAAGGCTTGAATGACCTCAGCTATCAAAAGGGCAGTCCGCAGTATGCCCAGCTGAAAAAGACATTTTAGCTGGGCTTCAAAAGAATCAGGTATCATTTTGCAAAATACGTGTATTCACTTTCTTGCAGAGAGTTACGTTAGAAGATTGACACCACTGCAATGGCTGAGCATTAAATATGCAGCTACAGCCTCGAGGCATTTAGCAAATGCTTTCTTCAAACTTCAAAAAAAAATTGTCTCGTAAAGCGTAATGATAAACACATTGTATCTCTTTTTTTTAATTCAACTCAAACAGAAATGTAACCAATAAAAATTAAAGAGAAAGTTGAAGAGAGATAGTCTAGCCGCATGCCTTCCCAGCTGCTTCCAGTCCCAGTAACAACTAATCTAAGCTAATTTCCAGTATCTGGTAAAGCGCCTTTCTAGTCTTCCGACCATTCTAACCGATTTTACACTACATGTTCGATGTTCGCCCTCACATAGCGATGGCAAACATCGAACAGAAACGTACTCATTCACACACTGATGGACATCCGGAGCAATTTGGGGTTCAGTATTTTGCTCAAGGATACTTCAACATGTGGTAGGAGGAGCCAGGGATCGAACCAACAACCTTCCAATTAGAGGACGACCACAGTGTCCCCCCATTATTAAATTCTGGACAAGAAAGTGTATAAGCGCATTTCCCCAAATATCAAACGATTGACCTTTAACAATGCTATCCTGAGGCCAGTTAGCTAGCACTCAAAACTTCTAGCCTTTGATCAATATATACAGCAGATGATAAATAATTAGCTAATTTATAGTACAAGATAATTAACATAGGACAATATTTTTGTTACTTCAAAACTGAGAAAGACTGTCATATCTATAGATTTTAAATATATTTTATAATATTTAATTTTCATAAATGGTAAGGAGATTACAGTACAGAGCAAGAGTGTTAAATAAATTAGAATAACTGATAGAGATGATACTAATCATATCATAGGAAAGTGAGTGTTAGTGAGTGGGAGGCAGAAGGTGCTCGTAGTATGTATATTGCGAGAGAATGAGAGATGAAAATGAAGCGAGTGTGTGTAGGTGTATTTGTTTTTGTGGTTCTGTATTATTGAGCGAACATTTTAAAAACTATTCAAGGATTGACTCATTAGTGAATTCTGTTTTGACATGACTCATTACAGATGTAGCTTCCCGTTTATTATTTTTGCTTGTGTTATTATAAAATTATGTTTCGGCTTCCCCTGTGTAGGAAAGAGTTTAAGATGCACTCATAAAGTCTTTCTATGCAGACGGTGCTGGGACTCATTTGCATGTAAAGGAGACAGTAAAGTGTCTGCTAACTTTTTCGTGAAGTGCCTGCCAGACTGAGAGGAATGAGATCCATCATTTAGATCACACTGAGATTAAAGCTAATGATCCTTGAAAAGTGCTTTTGTTTGACAGTCCTCCCAGTATCTATCTTTCACTCTCCTTTTAGCCCATCATTCCAGGCTTTCTCCACTCCAACATTTGTATCACTATCATTTCACAGGCATCACAACCAACAGGCGTCATCGCAGTTAAATATAGAATCTAACTGATCCCACCCTCATGTCACATTTGGCATGCTTGGTCTTGTCTGATGTAGACTGATTCTTTTTGATCTCAACAGACCTTTTGAGAGTTATAACTAAGAAGTGAGTCACTCCCCACCAGTTTCCCTGCCTCCTCCCAGCCCCTCACCTTCTGCCGTCACCGCCGCCGTCTATTTTCATTCTGTGTAAATTATTAAGAAATTACTGCTACATCCCTTTGTAGTGCTCAAGGATAAACTGTATCTTTTGAGGCTTGATCTTAAGCCACGGACCAACAGAGAAACAGTTGGTGTTTGAGTACGTTCTTTACTTACAGTACTCAAAGCTTTCTATCATTTGCATTTGCAATACTTTATTAATTTGCAGTTTAATGGTGGATTAAGGGTTTCCCTGAACCATATGTTCAATCAATTTCAGTCTGTATTTAAAGGTGATTTAAATGTTATAGTTCTCTATTTTTTCTTGTTATTCATCAAGAAATGCTTTTCTGGTGATACAGTCTTTATGCCTCTATATTTACAACTTACAGTTAGAGTTACATACGTTTAAAAATGGACGATTAGGAGGTGTGGCCTCCAAACATGTGTTGGGAATCTTATCTGTTGGGACAAATGCTTAAAAACAACTGCAAAGCCACTGAGGAAACATACTATCTCAAAGCAGAGATGGAATAGATAAACATTGCAAGCATTGTTGCTGAAAGAAGTCGTCAGCATTTGGACCTCAGCTAGCTCTATACTTGCATCCGAATCCCTTATTTTTTTAAAGTTTGATATGGAGGAAAATGCACTTAAGGATGTCCAAAAACAAGGACTAAAAGCTCAAAATGAACTTCCAACTATAGTTGTGCGTGAGTTTGAGCCGGCGGACAAACCGGAGGTCCAGCAGATCTTTTATGAAGGGCTGATAGAGATGGTACCAGACACTGCCTTCAGAGGCTTGAGACACCACCCTGAGAGTCTCCTGCTCTATACTGCTATGACTGGTAAGATTATTTATATTTTACATATTTCTGTGATTGCCTCTGCAGCTTGGAGAAAGATATATGTGAGGTGGTAATTGCAAGCACACTGATAGAAGCATTATACATGGGACCACTGAGAGTATCAGGACAAACTGTATTTTCTTTTTAAGACATATCTCTTTTTGATTTTTTATAAACACATCTTTATTTTTTCACAGTTTCTTGATTATGATTTTATTTTATCATTTTCATTCTTTTACTAATTCTTGAGTCTTGCTCACGTTATTGTTATTCATAATGCAATGCTCAAAATAGTTTTGCGTTGTGTTTGTTGTATTGTTCTCTTGCTGCCACTGTGAAGAATGTTCTTTACATTCAGTCATCTCTCATATCTCTCCTCTGGCAGTTATATGTTTTGTCATCACCATGTGTTGGTGGGTGATAGGACTCCTCCCTGCAATTGTGCTGTGTGGGCGCTACTTCTACAGCAGACGTGTGATCCATGGTTATCTGGAGCGCGCCTTGAGCCAAGACATGGGAGACATTGAAGGCTTTTATATGAAACCATCAGGTATATTTTGTACAAGTTTCAAGTGCAGTATGTACTGAATGATTGTCTCCTATTTCTGACTTACAGTGACGGTGCATGGTAGAATTGAAAAAACTTTTACTGAATCTTTATCACTAGGATCTTAATCTAACCATCTCTTGTTTCTTGGTGTTGTTATTTTATCAAAAATGTAGGGCCTTGAAGTTCATTCAAGAGGGAAAATATTTTTTTTGCAATAAAAACAAACATTTTTGTCAGCCAAAAGTAATCTACAAAAGTGCTGGAAAGCACAAGATAATTAATTCAATTTAAAACTAAGCAGCCTTGGACAAGAAAGGTTTTGGGTTCATAAATAGGACTGTTTTTTTCTATGGTTTGACAACATTTCCATAATTTACTGAAGTGTTTCACAGACAAGATGGAGACAATAATTGAATGTCAAATAAAAGAAAACAAAAAACTAGAATACTGGAGGATATGAATTACATGGTTAAAGACATTCAAATATTGCATCACAGGGAGATAAAATTCACAAGCTAGTTGGGAAGTTTTTTCTGTCCAGAGGCTACAAAGCAGTGTCTGATGATGGACCTACAAGTTTTACTGTTCATTGTCTAAAAATATGAAGCAGTTCAGAGTCTTCTAGCCTTGTCATTCACTCAGTGGTAATTTGTAACCTGTCTGTGCCTGCAAATCACATTGCCATACATATATTTTCCTTGACACTTGGCAACCTGGACTGAAAAGGATATTGTGCATCTTCTTAGAGTGACTATTGCAGTTGTAATTCGATTAGGTTGGTTGATAAGGCCAACTATCTCTTGCTGCTGTGGCAAAAAAGACATTTTAAAAACATTTTTCCTTTTTTCACTTAATTTTTTCCTTCCTTTGTTCATCATTTTCATGTTTTGTCCTTGCCCTCCACTTCAGACTCCTGTTTGTGGGTAGCAGTGCTGGAAGGCAAAGTGGTGGGTGTCGTAGCAGCAGTCGGCCAGCAGAAGTCGGGAGGTGCTGTTGAGTTGAAGCGGATGTCTGTGGACCGGAGCCGTCGGCGGTATGGAGTTGGCGTGGCACTGGGACGAAAGGTTCTGGAGTTTGCAGTCACTCACAGATACTCCTTTGTTGTCCTGGGAACCACAGCATATACACACGCTGCCCACAAGCTCTACCAGCGTCTGGGCTTCCGCTGTGTGGGGGTCACCAACGGGTATGTCACACCTGGTGCGACATCGTCCTTACTAGAAGGAATTTTCTACAGGGTCCGCCATCATCACTACAGCCTCCATGTGCAAAATGGCAAGATCACTTCAAATGGACAACACTGACTGTAGTGGCAGTGCAGACGACTAAAGTGAGGTGAATTTTCAAGACGGTCTGCACCAGAAAAATTACAGTCTTGTTGTATGTTTGAATGCTTATGTTTTCCTGTCATGCAAAACCCTGATGCCTGACCTTTGTCAAAGACAGAGTAGAGTGTTGTTATCCCACCACTATATACACAATAGTGTGTATGTGTAGGGCCAGCTTTGGCGCAGAGGCAGAGCGGGTTGTCCCCTAATTGGAAGGTTGTTGGCTGATCCCCAGCTCCTGGTGCCACATGTTGAAGTATCCTTGAGCAAGATACTGAACCCCGAATTGCTCCCGATACCGTGTGTGAATGTGTATGAATGAGTTAGTTTCTGTTCGATGGGCTGTGTGAATGTGTGTGAAAGGGTGAGTGTGGCACGTAGTGTAAGAGCGCTTTGAGTGGTCGGAAGACTAGAAAGGCGCTATACAAGTACAGGTCCATTTACAATAAATATACAGATGTCTATGGTGCTATTAAGGTTGATGTGTATGATTGGCCCTGGTGCTGTATGTGCTTTTGTTTGTCTGGTTATGTTAGTTTTTATTTCTGTCTGCTGTAGTTTTTCTTCAAATTGACCTCAATGAGATTGTTGGAAACTGTTTGGAAAAGGGACTTTATTTTTGAACCATCTGTCACCACCTGGCAAACTTCAACCAATCAGATCAACAAACTATCATACAGTCGAACTCTTACTCCTGATATAACTGATGTTAGCAGCATCTGTGCTAACGTCCTTGGCAGCCGCCATTGTTGTTTATCTCACGTAGCGGTGCCCAGCTCATATTCATAATTCCCTGCAGGCATTCTAATTAAAGCTTTAACTCTTTTTATTTTATTATTCAGTGTAACATTCAAATGAACATTTTTTATCTGTGAGTCAACAACAATGCTTTCTGTGTACTCTAAGGAGTGGTCATTTGTGTGCGTTCTTTTTGAGATATCAGCCGATCTTGAAAATACAACTGCTCAGACAAGATAATAGGACAGAAGCTGATCCCAGCTCTGTCAAGACTCACTTCCTCTTAGCTTCACTCCAGCTTACTCAGTGGTAAGACTATTTTCTGGTTTTAGTCAAGATGCTGCATTTCAAACCATTTGAAGATTTTTGCTGTCATTTTGCTGCCAGCCTTATCTGTCTATACTGAGTTTGCCTTTGATAAATACAGTACAATAAAATACATATACAGAAACACAGATACAGAAATTGAAACTGCAGTGAGAAGGTGTATATGGTGCTGGAATAATGTCGACACTTTTCACTGCTTTCTGCTGGGAACTGCTTGTGGAAAAAATAGGCATTGACTCAAGGGCAGTGTGGCTGCTTTAATCTGTTAATATGGGCGCTGAAATAAAAAGCAAGACGTCCCATTACGCACACGTGCTGCTCAGACTAAACAAAAACATTACAATCGAACAAATGAAACAAGTCTGGATAAGTTATTGAATTGTTGACAAGCTAGGCCCCCATTAGAGTTTGTGAAATGTTAGCTCCAGTTTGCATTGTTCAGATGAAATATGAAAAAATAAAACTAATTTTGTTACCAACTTGTCACCCTAGTACAGATACTGTTTTCATTATGATCACAATAAGATTAAATATAGTCTACACAAAAATTGTTTACAAGACCAGTGCATGGTTTGCTGAGTCAGAGAATATGTTGGAACAAAACTTGAGTAACCAGCCTTCTCTTTCCATGTTAAAACTGCATGTTCAGCCTTTTTGTGTTTTGTGAAATCTTTTCTTCCTCATCTGAACATGCGGTTCATGTTGTGAAATTGGCAAGAACCAACCGAAACAGATCTCAAACAGTGGTCATACGCCCTCATAATCTCGGAGATGGCAGAGATGGTTTATTTTAACTACAAACACAAACTGAATTCACTAATGAGTTCATCTTGTCTGCTTATACAAGAATATTAGTGCCCTGCATAAGTAAATAAAAATGATAGGAGGGAGATTTTACATTTTGAAATTAAAGGTGAAATACAATTCCGAGAATAAAGTTTCTAGAGAAGCAACAGTAACATCAGAAAAGGGTAACTATACAAACTCAATACTATCTCACTGGAAACAAATCTAAAATGAAATCAAATGAATCATATTCCTGACATCATACACACAGACATCAATCAGTATCAGCAAAGGCACCGCCAGAGGGGGGGCTTAATTAAAAATTAATAAAAAATATAATTAATAGCCCACTCCATGTGCCACCCCATTATCCTTACCTCTTCCACTTCAGAGCATGTAGCAGGCTGTGTTTTAAAGCTAGAGTGAAATGTTAAGGGGGCTAAGTAATGCTCCAAAGTTAGGCAAAATTTTGTCAATGGAAAAACTGGCATTGCCATTTTCAAAAGGATCCCTTGACCTTTGACCTCAAAATATCTGGATTAAAATGGGTTACTTATAAAGCCTCCCCATTGTACACATGCCCACTTTATGCTAATCCAAAGCAGTTTTTGGGTAACAACCATGCAGTTTTTTGAATGTGGGATAAATGTGTTATTTTCACCTAGTGTATTTAAATATTTTTGCATACCGGGGTCCCTAGATAACACATAGTTCAGGCCATCCCGGCGTAAGTCAGAGGCCCTCGTGTGCTTCCCCTGTCAAAAAAAGTCTGGAAACACCCCTGAGTATCAGTCCTTCCTCCTGTCCTCTTTATGGCAAACTAGCATAAATACTTCATAAAAACTACAAACAAGGAGCTTTATTTAGTATATTATTCTCAAAATGCAAATCAAACCTTTTTCTCTGACTAACTCGGTAGCAACTAGTTAGAGGGGAGTCTCTTGCTCCGCCTACTGACCAACCCTCAATTTCTTTCCCACTGGCCACGAGTGTAAAGACCACCACACAAGGATTTAAAGTGAGTGTTGCATGTATTGAAGCATATCTGCACTGTTTTTGCAGGTTGAAGTGTCTGGAAATCAGTAGGTTAGCATTTACTCTCCGAGATTGCTCAAAACATCATTCCTGCATATTTCAAGACTCTACAGACAGAGGTAAGGTTTACTTGCTTTATATCTTACATTCATGGTATTTAAATCTGGCATTATCACCCAGTGGTACAAAGCCTAAAAAAGCAATCAGCATCCGAGAAGTAGTAGTTTCAGCACCATGACACAGATGTTTCAGTCCTAGTAAAGGTGACACAAGGTCTAAAGATTTATTCTTTATGTGAAGATAGGAGAACTTACTGGAGGGCACTTAAATGTTCTACATTTTCTATAGCAACATTACTGAAAAAAATATTTCAGAAGCTAATGCTACTGTTTTCTACTGGCAAGACTACAGCTCATGAAGCAGATGCAAAGATGGCTGTTGAGTACCATGCCTCTACAGTGACAAACATGGACATTGAAAACACTAAAATTGGATACAAGCAACTCTTTACGGATGGCAGCAAGCTCCGGTATTCAGGTAATAAGCTTAATTCCAAAAAGGGTTCGGTGATGTGATACCATGAGAGTATAAAAAACGGTGAACTGCCAGTTCCCCTTAGCTCTACAGAGCTTTTTGTTTTTCCGCTCACTGATTTGTTTTCATAGCCCACAGCTTTTTAGTTCAGTCTCTCTCCTCTCATCAACAGAAATCAGAAATTCTTAAGGTTACTGCTGACAACAGTATGCACTTTATCCCCCACTTATTGAAAAATTGAGAAAAATAACTTTTATTGAATCAATTTATTGAAAAGTGAAATAATAAATTTTTTTTGCACACCTGGAGGCAGAATAAGAAAATAAGAAACTGCCAGCAGCAACATTAGCATCCATTTTGAGTCATGTTTGTACAACAGTCAGCAGCAGCAGGTCACCAAAAACACAACTTCAGATAAGTTCCTTTGTGTCTATATATATATATTATATATACTGTATATATCATATATTGTATAGAAGGGTTATCCAAAAACACAATTCCTGTCTAATGATCTTATATATAGACATTGTCTCAGTTTAACTTCAAATTTATTTTATATTTTATTTATATAAATTATATATTATTATTATTATTACTAATATAAGATTGTATCCGTATTACACAACCCAGTTTAAAAATGATACAGCTGCCATTATAATAATTTTGATAGGTCCACTGCATCGTTTTATGTGATATATATTGGTATATGAACTATGATTAATGTTTTACACACTATTGTAATGCAGATAAATCACATATAACATAACCACAACTTCCTTAAAACACTACATTTTGAATTCCTGTTTTGCTTCCAGTTTATGCATTGAGAAACAGCCCTTTCCGGGTTGCTACACTCTGCCTTGGTCTGCTGTGTGTCATCCTGTTGGCTGGGGTCATAGGTCAGAGTGTCCACTGTGAGTCTACCTCTTTGTTTTCTCTGTCAAAAATCCACATGTTTTAGAAAGTTGCCTGTCAAGGTGAAAATCACTAATTTAACGATACCTCTCATCTCTGGCAGACCAAAAAGCAGAGCAAGACCGTGAGAGCAACCTAAAAGCCTTGAGTGAAGAGAAAGAGAAACTACAGGTGGACCTGAAGACAGTGCAAAAAGACAAAAGGGATCTTCAGGCCAAAAGTAATCAGTTACAGCAGCAAAATGATTTATTAACTAAAAGGAAAGAACAGATACAGATCAATAACAATTTACTGACTGAGCAAACAAACCAACTTAAAAATAGTCAAAGCGAGTTAAAGACCAGCAACGATGCTTTGAAGAAAGCGAAAGAAGAGCTAGAAGCAAGCAAAGACCAATTGAAGCTTAGCAACAATGCCTTGTCTACAGCCAAAGACCTGTTACAAAAAAATTATGATTTAGTGATCCAACGCAAAAGTGAGTTACAGACCAGATATGACTCAGTGACTAGAGACAGAGACAATTTACAGAACAAATACAATAATGTAACCAGATCCAAAGAGCAGTTGCAAAAGGATTACAATGCCCTGATCAAGGATGTAGAGCATTTGCAGGACAGATACAACTTCTCTTCCAGGGAGAAAGACAAGCTAGAAAGCAGTCACCAAAACCTGACGATAACAAAAGAGACTCTGCAGGCCAATTTCAACGTACTTGTAAAGGCAACAGATGAGTTGCGGGCGTCTTACTCGTCCTTGATTCAGGAAAAAAAAGAGCTAGAAAAGAGTTGCAAAAACGTAACTGTGGAGAGAGACTGGCTGAAGACAAACAATGACAACCTGACTACTGAGAGAGACCAGCTTCAGATGGAAGTGGAGAGACTGAACGCAACGATTCAAGGTAAGGAAAAAAAAATCACAAAAAGGACACTTGAAGCAGATTTCATATTGCAAAATGTCTTCTCAACTGGGATACTGCATGTGGCCTTCTTGTTAAAATTGTGCAGGGAAAAGCTAAAAGGGCCACTGTGCAAAAAACAAAACCTTTCTTAACCACACAAAAAAACAACATCACTCTAAACATGTTTTCCACCTTAATGCGTGTAAACACTTTTGTCATAGTGTTTTTGTTATCGATCAATACATATATTGCATTTTCAGATAAGAAATGCCCCTCTGGTTGGAAGAAATTCGAGTACAGCTGTTACTTCACTTCTTCTAGCAAGAGGACCTGGAATCGGAGCAGAGAATACTGTCAGACCAAAGAAGCAGACCTGGCAATCATAACAAGCCAAGAAGAAATGGTTTGTTTATCGTTATGCATTTGTCTGTATCTGCATGACTGTACCTGCAGGTGTCCTCATTCATTTTCATGAAAATGCAACAAATCAGCTTCTTGAGGGCGTTTTAGTTTGTTAAAGCTGCACTAATAAATATTTTCACACTAACAATGGAACAATGTTTGAGTAATGTGGTTATCACCTAACTCTGCAGTTCCCCTTAATGCCACAAAGCTTTCTAGCTGCAATCTGCAACTTTACTGTTTTGTTTCAGTTCTCCTTAACCAAAAGGAAGTTTTGGCAAGACACAGTGCTTTCTACGCTGAACATATGGAGCCCTCTACTGGAAATAAAAAAAGAAAAATAAATAATAGACAAATGAGGCAAAGCTAAGCTATAGCTACCTCTAAAAATACAGCAAACACAATGGAAAGACTTAAAAGCTTAAAATTAGTTTTTGGCCCATGCTTGTTACAATGTAACAAACTGCAACAAAAGAGAATTAGATGCATTTGTATTTAAGGCCTGTGCTTGTTTTGCAGGGTTTGACCATTAATTAAAAATCATGGATTCAAGGTTATTTTATTGTCATTTACGATGTAGGATTGTATAATGAAATTGAGATATTAATCTACTTAAAGGTTAGGGTTAGGGTTAGGGTCCTTAAGTCCAATGTTCACTCCTGTTTAGCTCTCTTTTTGGTCTAGCTGCTTAATGTTCTACTATATTCACCAGACATTTGCTAACTTCATTCATAGAATCATTTCATTCATTAGTTAGTATAATTAGTGCAACAAGTAATTTATGTATACTAAACCTCTGCAAAAATGTCTTCTCTCATAGACCTTCATCAATGCCTTGTATGGAAGTGAGAAAGAAGTCTGGATTGGATTATCTGATGAAGGAGTGGAAGGGCAATGGAAATGGGTAGATGGGACACCAATGACCAAAGCGTAAGAAAATAAATACACTTTATTTCCAAACAAAAAACGCAAAATGTCTGTTCTCAATTTGGATGGCTGTCCTTGTCTTGCAGGTTCTGGGGTAAAGACCAGCCCAACAGCCACATGGGGAGGAACCAGGACTGTGTGGAGTTCTGGCACCGTGCGTCAGGGACTGGAGACTGGAATGATGAGAACTGTGCCATAGAACAAAACTGGATCTGTGAGAAGTAGTTTTCCTCTGGCTAGCTCTGGCTACTGATGGCCATCATGTAATATCAGTGTATACAAAAAAATAAATGCACATTAGGGACTGTGGTCAGTGGATTGGAAGTAACAGATAAATCAGTTTGCTTCAATCCATATTATGTGAGCACTTTACACTCAATGGCACACAGCATTGCTAACAGCTAAAACCTGAAATGTATTGTTGTGATAAGTAATGCATTATGAAATCAACTTTAGCAGATAGCCCATTATGTGCTGGGGCAGGTACATTAATGTAGGTTGCGTGGAGCAAACTCTGTATTATGGAACCAGTTTGGCTCAAAGAGGACCAAGCTTTCCATAGCTATCTGTACATACTGTAGAAACAATTAAGATTTTTCTAAAGAAAGACACTTGATGATTATGTTAATTCATTTGCTACTGGGATTAATTAATTAAGCATTTCCCAAGAGTTGTACCTATTATTCAGTTCCTGCTGAGCTAGTGAGCATCTGGGTTAAGGTTGAACTGGCTAACATTAATATACGTATTATGCATTATTCATTATGTATTAACAACCATTCAATCAGTGCTTTAACTATTTCAATTGACAAATTAAATGATATTTTATGTTCTCATATACACCTTTTATGTATTCATTCATGTAAACACACATATTAAAATAAAAAAATTCACCTTGTACTACTAGTGTAATGAATCACACTCACAGAGTTCGTCAATATGCTCAAGTCATTTTGACACTACACCTAAAGCTAGAGATAGTAGAATTATCGATAATGACCTGTGTTGTCTTTCTAGGAACAATGTCATCTGCCACAACCTTTGTGGTATTTGTGGGTGGAGGGTAGTTGTCCTAAGTCACTTCTGACTTTTTCTGTGTTAAAACACATCACAATCTTTCCCTTAATAACCATGAAAAAATAGAATAACCCTTTAGTCACTGTAAATGCCTGTTTTGGTAGAAAACAAATGAAATACATTGTCAGTAAACATTTTAACGACACATTCAATATCCACATTTTGGCAGCTTGCCAGGTACATTAATTAACAGCATACTGTATATTTTGTGTTAGGTTTGATGTTTGTTTTCGTAATTATAGATTTTTGAATAGAGAGAAAAACAAATATTCTTTTCTGAGAGTATTATAAGTCATAATCTTAGTGGTCATGATAAGCGTAAACAAGATAAAGAAACGTAACAACAGACATTGGTGAATAATAAAATGTATAAAAATGATAATAATAACAATAATAAAGCCTCCATTCAAAAAATAACTCCAGACTTAATGGGGCTTGTACAGTCCAATGGGAAACCCAGCTGTCCCACCTTATTATTAGCCGGAATGCTTCAGTACTTCAGACGAAGTCCTCTTCCATTAGATGCTTAATAGCTTACATGCATTTGTTTACCACTTCTTCACACAGACCTCAGTCTACCTTTACTTTGGTGAAATTAATGAATCCTGTTTAACTGTGTATAATCTAAAAAAATCTCACTTTTTCTGACCTCAAGTGGTTTAACTTTGCTGCACTTATCAATAATCTTTCTTACTGAAGGCCCTGAAAACATATTTTCTTAATCAGCATCTTACTGAGACCAATGGGCACAGATGTGTTATTAAGCTGGAGATCTCTTTATTTCTGTTTATCTCAGTTAAAAGTTGATTCATCTGTGCACCAACCAGAATTCAGCTGAGTTTAATCCAAAATGATGACAGTTGTTGATTGACAAATGTTGGCTGCACTGTCAGTTAAATCTGAACACACCATTACTATTTACCACTCAGGAAGTCCAGGTGCCATTCAGAACATTCATACCCTTTAGTAACAGTGTTTTGGTGACAAACCTGGTAGCTGCACCTGCATGCAATGATATTTCGCCAAGCAAATATATTTTTTTATCTGGTTTGGATATGAGGCCAATTTGTTATTGCACAATTCTGGATATTCAGAAACACACATTCACAGTTACCATACAAGCTTTTTTGTTTTTTTGGCCATCTTGTAGTTCAAGCAGTGGTCACCAGCAACTGCAAAGACAAGGGTCTACGATAATGTGAATGCCGCTGTAGGGTAAGGTCATGTGACAGCTAGAGGCACTAGGCACAGTGGGATGGACCTCCAACTGTTCCTTACTGTCCTCAGAGGTTAATAATGAACTTCCATGGGCAGAGATCAGAGGAATACTGTTTGTTGTCTGATGCTGTCATTTGATTGCCTCAACATGAAATACTTGTTTTGATCCCACACTGAAACTGCTGTGATTACACCTTTAACATTTCATCCGTGTTAGAACCCTCATACTACTACTGCCCTCCTCGTCCATACTTTCACATCACTATGATGCATTCTGGGAGCAGGCATGCTAGACTATGCAGTTACTTATGTACTTTGTTTTGTGTGTTAAAGCAAAAGTTCTTCATGCACTGTGTTTTGAACCCATGAGAGATAAGCATTTACAGCTTTAATAAAACAGTTTAATGAAAAATGTGGACTCCAACATTCGGACTGGCAGTCCCATAGCCAGAAATCCTACTCATTCCTCTCCACAACGCCTTTGCATTTGCAGAAGAGTGTGTTCTTGTTTCTCTTTCAGTGCTGTAGGTGTTCCTTCCATTATCTTGCCTTTTGGAAAGACTTACTCAAATGTTTCACCTAATGTGCACAGTAGTACATTAAAAAAACACTAATTTACAACGAACACTCGCCCACACAAACCAAATGTTGATCTTACATATTTCAAATAATCATTATCTATTGACTGCGGTATGATAAATGTGATTATCAACACATTCAACTGAAGATGTTTAACAAGCAACTAGTAATGGAGTTATACCCTTAATGTTTAGTCTCAGATAGATGTTCCTAAAAGATTTGACCTCTTTGCATGAAACCTTTGAACCCTTCAGTACTTGAAGGACCACTGATATTTATTAAGTAGTCCATAGTCCATAAATTGCTGATACTAGATATGTTTGAGAAATATTAATCTATTAATGGGCCTCTCCACTGTTCTAACACATAAAGATCAGTTTATTTTGGCATAAAACTAAAACTGTTTAAGAGAAAGCCAATCACTGGTGGTGTGGGGTTTGAAAGAAGTGGATATTTTGGAGGCTGGCTAGTGAAAAAGACAGTTATGTTGCACTTTCTGGAAGTGCAATACTAAATCACAGCTAGTAGAAATACCAACTACCATTAGCTAAATTGATTTTTACCTAAGACAAATTCACTGCAGAAAAGTATGTTAATTTGATAACTACTCTATAGCTCACAATCTTAAATGGATCTGTTTGTCAGACAGGGGAACTATTCTATTTTTAACCTGCATGTCTATGTCAAATTAATGACACAAACTGGTAGAAATATGGTCGCTGACCGTAGAAAATACATTGTGACTAGCCCCTAAAGTCCCAAAAGGTAAAACATTTTTATCTTGTGCTAAGTTATTATCTTATGGGCACAAGTTACTTATTTTGTGGGCACAAGTTATTATCTTATGGGTTTATAGTCATATGTTTGCTGATTTCTCCACTATGTTTTAACATTGCTATGTTCATTGCTTTATTTAAGCAGTTAATTTGCTATGTTATTGGTGGGTGAGCTGGTTGATAAGATAGTTGAGAAAGATAGCTTTCTGTTATTCGCCCGTTTTACCAAAGTGTCCATGCTCTAAACAGAATCTGGCAGACATTCAGATTTCGGCAAGAGCAGCAAGAATTTCATGGTATGACATTCAGAGGTGAAAATAAAACTTATAAAGCTGAGTTCTCTCCATTATATGACAACTGTGTGCATCTGAAGCCGTTAGAAATGCATGAATTTATAGTAAATTATCTTGTGCGCACAATATTTCCTTTTGGGGACTTTATGAATTCAGAGAAACATACAAAAAATTAAATTAAACTCACTCTTGACTGTCTGCATAAACCTATACCATCTTCCTACTAGCATCCACAGATACTTTACTTTTGTCATTATGGGTACGTATGAATATGTATATGTATACATATACCTGTATATACTTTTTTTCTAAATGTAAATCTTTTTTCTGTGTATGTCTTAATTATTTATATATATATATTTTTTTATGTATAACTTGTTTTGACGTAGTGCATGCGGCGTAAGATTACAGATTTAAGTGCCTTGCATTGAATCTGAGTGTGTGTGTTAATGGATGAATGAGAGGGAAACTGTAAAGTGCCTTGGAGAAATTCAGTATATCAATACCGTCCATTTCCAATTTACCATACAGTCCATTTAGGTCTCTGACTCATCAATATCAAAAAAGCATAGTCCAAAGGACTCACTGTTTATTTCAGTAAAATAAAACGTTTTAAAAAGTGAACAAAATTTTCCAGATTTGTTACTTTCACACTCTAAGACTTTGTCGCTGTACACTTACATCAAAGATTTGGAGTGTATATAAAGACTCAAATAGACACTGACAGTCAGCCACAGCTGGGTGTGGAAGATGTAATCTTCAGCCTCCACACACACTCCCTCCCTCTATGTACTACCCCCCCCACTCAAACAGGTAGGTGTTGAGTTTGGCTGTACTGCTGTGTGGGAGCTGTTCCATGTATACTGACACCACTCCTCAGAGAGGTAAAATACAAAGTCTCTACCTCACATACTTCTAATATACTTTAACACACAACCTGTGGTCAGTCATTCTCTGTGCCAAGTTTTCTCACAGAAACACACAGTATATGTACAGTGCTGTGAAAAAGTATTTGCCCCCTTCCTGATTTCTTATTTTTTCTCACACCTAAATGACCCCCTTCGAGCCCCCCCATTAAAAAAAAACAACAAAAAACACAAAATTCTGCACAAACTGTTATGTTTCAACATAAGTGAAGCAGAGAATTATATTTCTCGATTGCACAAATCCTTCAGCAGAACAATTGGATTTAACTATTGTACTTGGAACACTTTTTAAGGTGCACAGTCTCCACCTCCAACATTGCCAAAAGACAATGAACACAGTTCTGCACAAAATATGACAGTTTAAGTTGTCAGAAATAAGAGAACCACAAGGACATCCATAAATATACACTATATACATAAATGTGCCAAAATATATACAATCATATATATAAAAAGTAACAAGAGCAGAGAGCAACAATAATATATAATATTACAAATAATGTACAAATAATATATAGAATAAATACTCTTTCCCATCCCCCAACACTGTCACTCACGACCAGGAGTCAAGACTAAACCAATTCACCTTGGTGACCGTATAATCATTTTGTATTACCTATTTTTGTTAGCCATTTCACACAATTCAGAAAAACAAAAATGTGCATGAACTGTAGGCCTGTATTTATTATATTATGAATGAAATGTGCGTTATTTGGAAGAAAGTCGAGGTGTGATCCCCGTTCCCCCCCTTGTCCGGTCCATTAGGTTGTTTATTAACCTAAATTGTTGATTGTTTATTTTATGTCTTGTTGATTGTTTATTTTATGTCTTGTTGATTGTTTATTTTATGTCTTGTTGATTGTTTATTTTATGTCTGTTAAATTTTTTATTTTTTATTTTATGTCTTAAATCTTAAATTATGTTAAATTGCTGTTGTTTTTATGTCTTTTCTATTTATAGAAAATTTATTTTTATTGCCTGTTTTGCACTGTGGGTCCGAGAGGACTGAATCTGTGCTGTATGTTGTGCATATAGCATATTTGACAATAAAGCTGACTTGACTTGACTTGACTTAATTAACAAGGGGAGGCAATTACTTTTTCACATAGGGCCAGGTAGATTTGGATAGCTTTTTTCCATTGATAAATGAAATCATCATTTAAAACATGCATTTTGTATTTACTTAGGTTATCTTTGTCTAATATAAAAATTTGTTTGATGATCTAAAACATTTAACTGTGACAAATATGCAAAAAAATAAGAAATCAGGAAGGGGGCAAATACTTTTTCACAGCACTGTCTATTTAGCTGGTAATCAGAAACCCTTCATTTTGTGGTGCATTAATGCATTTGTCTTACTATATTTGCACTTATCTGTGCATGTTTAGCATGCTGAGAGGAGAAGACACCAGTGAAGTTGCCGAGTGAACAACTCATAAACCAGAGACTTTGTAAGTTCCCATGCTTGCGTGTCATTATATTATCTGTGGAACTTGAACTTGAGCACGTACACGTACACGCACACGCACACGCACACGCACACACACACACACACACGCATTGAATTTCAAACAGAACACTGAGAGCGATGGAGCCCCAAAGTGTTCAGTATGAAATAAACACAAACACAAACAATAAGTAATCACATTAATAAATGTGTAAACCTTATAAATGAAACAATTACGTTAATCATGTTCATTTCTCATATGACCTTGTATACAGCCTGCTGCTGGTATGTGAACTAGTTACGTATTACACAAATGAGGGCGAGGTCAGTAACTTTGCCAGTAGGAACTCTATGCTCTCCAACACATTCAGTCCCATTTGAGTTCTCTCGGGACTGATTCACCAGGAGACTCAGGTAGGCTGTTTTATTTTATACAATATATATTTTATCTGATTCTCTCCCAGTGACATTTTGATTAGTGACTGATTATTTTATGCAGGTGACAGTATCTTTTTGTCGTCATATACATTGTTCCTATAGTTACCTGTTACAAAAGAACTCTTGAGTGGACAAGATATTTAAATAGCTTTAGGGCAGCCCATGACTAAAGATGTTAATTTTAGAGTTTAATGTAATTATTTAAATATATTGGACGCACCATCTATTTAGGTTTGTAAGTGCGCTCTAGTGCATCAGTGTCGGTGTGTCTGTCCAACCCTGTCATAGATTATATGGATATGGATTATTATGTAAGCAAATGTTTTGCATTTATATTTCCAGTGATGGGAATAACAGCGTTATAAATCACGGCTTTACTAACAGCGTTACTTTTTTCAGTAACGAGTAATCTAATTGATTACTCTTCCCATCTTAATAATGCCGTTACCGTTACTGCCAAAAAATGCGTTACTATAATTGAAGCTGGTTTTTTTTCATCAGACCAACTAGATCTCTGAGCCAAGAGGCAAAGACTTTTTTTTCACTGTTCTTCCTTGGTTAGTGGGCAGTGCACGAGACAGGCGCATAAATGCTGACGATTGGCTGAGGTTGAGTAAAATTTCATGGTAAGCCAATAAATAAATAAAATATCAAAAGTTCCAAAACATCTATTGTGTTATTTGTATCGATCCACTATATAAACAAAATATCTACATACATGGCATTTGATTGGAGGCTAGTCTCACTTTGTCCCACAGCAACATTAAAATAGTTTAGATTTGTGTACATTGTTTCTGTTAATAATGTATTGTATTAAGTGTCCATTTCATTATAATATTCAGATTTATCATAAATAGTTGAACATGCACATGTATTTTAAGTTCCGTTAAAGAGGGGTGGAGGTGGGGTCACATTTGAGCATTTAAAAATTGACTTGAATTGCTAATCGAACGTGACCAGTTTTAGCACAAACCGCTAATTACCTTATAACGCTAGTCAAAAAGTGAAAAGAAATCGCTATTTCTATACCACTAACAAGGCTCAATATAGCACCACACTTACACGGTAGCATAATTCAATTCAATTCAATTCAATTTTATTTGTATAGCGCCAATTCATAACAGAAGTTATCTCAGGACACTTTTCAAATAGAGCAGGTCTAGACCGAACCCCTTATAACATTATTTACAGAGACCCAACAGTTCCCACCATGAGCAAGCACTTGACGACAAGGGCAAGGAAAAACTGCCTGTTAAAAGGCAGAAACCTAGGACAGATCCTTCGGCTCTAGGTAGGTGGTCGTCTGTCTCGACCAGTTGGGGTTAGAGAGACAGACAGACAGACAGGTGCACAGCAACAACAGTATTGGCAATGGCAATCTAGCAGGACCATGGCAGGAGGCTCCACCAGGATCGATAAGAACCTGCGAGACGAGAAAGCACAAGAAGTGAAGTTAGTAACATGCATTAATGGGACATGAATCAGTGCACCATGGGAAGTCCCCCGATAGTCTAGGCCTATAGCAGCATAACTAAGGGATGGTTTAGGACTCACCTGATCCAGCCCTAACTAACTTTATCAAAGAGGAATGTCTTAAGCCTACTCTTGAATGTGGAGAGGGTGTCTGCCTCCCGAACCACAACTGGAAGCTGGTTCCACAGGAGAGGAGCTTGGTAACTGAAGGCTCTTGCTCCTGTTCTACTTTTAGAGACTATAGGAACCACAAGTAGCCCAGCATTCAGAGAACGTAGTGTTCTAGAGGGGTAATAGGGTACTATGAGCTCTTTAAGATATGAAGGGGCCTGACCATGAAGTCACGAAAACAGTCACACGACCAGTCGAACTCTCTCAGATGGGAAGTGAATCTTGCGTGAAGATTGATGCCGGAAGAAAGCCCTAAGCGCATAAGAGAAGCAATGTCTTCAAATTCGGTTGAATAATCCGCCATCTCTTTAATGTGTATCCTGTGGAAGCACTAGTCTCTGTTGCGTTCAGTGCTTCTCTTATGAAAACATATCCCAGAGAACGGACGAACTCGGTACACGTGTTATTAACCCCTAGGTTCATTTTGCGCCGGAATTGTCCTTTAAGTACAGTTTTAGGTACCTATACTATGTGGAACTTCCGTTATATGCTACTCCAGTACATTTAATTGTGAAATACTGTACTTTTTATTCCACTGCATTTATGAGACCAGTACATTAAAACTACTAGTTGCTTTGCAGTTTCATATTTTACACACAAAATATAATGAGCTCAAACAACATGATGCTTCATTATATTAACTATCAAACTCTATGAAGTTTGAAATTTGGTCCAACCACAAAAAAATACTTCCTACTGACAAACTGATAACATGACTTTAATAGTATTAAATCACTTTATCACTTTATTATGGTGTTACAGATTGGTCATTAATAGAGACAACCTTTTGGTTGCCAGTTTGTAAAATAATTATTTGGCTGATATTATAACAAGCCGTTTCATATAATGAGTTGTGTATTTGAAACTAAAGTATAGTCTGTTTACACTGTAACCTCCAATTCATCCATGACATATAAATTTGAGGAAGTGTTGAGTCCCAGGTCTCTGAACTTGATGTCAAGCTTGGAGGGCAGTGGCATTACATGCTTAAATATAGTCAATAAAGAGTTTTCTCATGTGTTTCTCTGGTCCAAAGATTTAAATGTAGCAGTAATGTACTGCAGGAAAATGAAGTCTTAGCTATGTGTGTTTTAGTTTGTGTTCATCTCAGCCTCCAGAGCTTGGAGCTGCTGTGAAACACCTAATACTGTTCAACTAGGCAAATGACAAATTGCATATTCAACATGTTTGGTGTTATAAACCCTGAGGTGGTGGAACATTTTCCAGGAAAGTCATGATTCAAGGTCATTTTGCTATAGTAAATTAGTGACCTATTATTCAATTGCATGGAGGTCTGGTCATAAATGTTCAATATTGAGTGTTGATGACGTGTGTGACGAATTGACGATTGACTAATTTTAGGTTTTGATATTTGATAACATCGATAGGTTGATACTCACCTCTTATGGTCCAATGGCAGTATGGTTCAAAGGTGGATGGAAGTTTAAGCTGTAACTGACTCCTCAGTCAAAAAAAATGATGGATTCTTTGAAGGATGACGATGTAAGGTAATAATCTGTAACTTCTTTCATATATTTTCATTTATCTTTTCAACTGGTTGTATTGTATAGACCTAGATCATCTTAAAGTCAACTGCACTGAATCAGAATGCCCTTGAGATTGAATACTCTGTATTCTCTTACAATACAGACAACTGGGCATCAGACGCAGTAAGTGCATCAGATCAGCAGAATAATTTCAGTTTTAATTACTTTTCAGGGTGAATGTGAAGAGCCTCATATCTACATTCAGTGACACAAAATTGTCAGGAAATTCTTCTGGTTCAAAGGACAAGGCCAAAGGGTAAGAAGATCAATTGATAAATTAGGGCGGTTTTTTCAAATAAAACTGCATTTGAAAAATATCTATCTATCTATCTATCTATCTATCTATCTATCTATCTATCTATCTATCTATCTATCTATCTATCTATAATAATATTGTGGATAGGGGTCAAGTTGTATTTAAGTACTATTATTAAAACAATTGCAAAATGTATTTCAGGTCAGCTCCCAGTGGATGTTGGAGCGTGAAGTCCAAGGAACCCCCTTTACTTTTCAAAGACCAACAGTAAGATAACACAATTTTACTGTCTCACTCATTTATAATGTGATTTTCAGTATTATTCATTGAGGGTTAACACAATGTGATCTTTCAATCCTCTTCTCTTCTTTCAATGCAAGACCTTTCCTTGCCAGTGGTTTAAGGGAATACTATCCACCAACAGCCAGTTAGCTTAGCTTAACACAAAGACTGGAAACAGGTAACAACAGCTAGCCAGCCACATCAACAGGTTATATTTCGCTTGTATGATTCATTAAAAATTAAAGTGTAAAAAACTATAGCATAACATCTAGCATACAGACATGAGCTTAGTATCAACTGTCTCATCTACCTTTCAGCAAGGTTGTTAGCTGGTGTAAGGTTTAGAAGTGGAGTTAATTCATATTTGAAAGTTGTAAGGCTCAGCAGTTAATATAATTAATATTTGAGTTAATTTACTAGAAATGTATTTACAATGTTTAGTCAGTTAATCATTTACATATTTATGTTACACAATTATTATTTACATATTTACATGTTTACATATTTCACACAGTCAGGATATTCTGTTGAACCTGCCTCTGATTCCCTCACGTTAACCTCAGTCTAAGTTGTAGCTTCTGATTGGTTAGTTCAGTCATGTAGAAGGTCCGAATAAGGAAGTGGAGTTGTTGTGAGTTGTGAAGTTCAGTAAAGTACCGCTTGAGAAAGTCATCCATCCTGTTGTTTATTCTCATAAAGAGTGATCCACCACCACATACTGAACCCTCACGTTACACTAGTTAGCACATGCTAACAATTGCAGCTGAGATTAGAGCACATAAACAAATTATTAAATAAAAGAATAGAAAAAGACATCACACTGTAAATGTTGATCAGCTCTCTGTTCAATGCATCCAACCTAAAGCTTGACAATTCAATTCAATTCAATTTTATTTGTATAGCGCCAATTCATAACAGAAGTTATCTCAGGACACTTTTCAAATAGAGCAGGTCTAGACTGAACTCTTTAAAACATTAATTACAGAGACCTAACAGTACCACCATGAGCAAACACTTGGCGACGGGGGCAAGAAAAAACTGCCTGTTAAAAGGCAGAAACCTAGGACAGATCCTTCGGCTCTAGGTGGGTGGTTGTCTGTCTCGACCAGTTGGGGTGAGAGAAAGAGAGAGAGAGAGAGAGAGAGACAGAGAGAGACAGAGAGAGACACAGACAGACAGGTGCACAGCAACAACAGTATTGGCAATGGCAATCTAGCAGGACCATGGCAGGAGGCTCCACCGGGATTGATAAGAACCTGCGAGATGAGAAAGCACAAGAACTCCGGGGAAGAAGTGAAGTTAGTAACATGCATTAATGGGACATGAATGAGTGCAGAAAGAGAGAGGAAGACAGGAGCTCAGTGCACCATGGGAAATCCCCCGATAGTCTAGGCCTATAGCAGCATAACTAAGGGATGGTTCAGGACTCACCTGATCCAGCCCTAACTATAAGCTTTATCAAAGAGGAATGTCTTAAGCCTACTCTTGAATGTGGTGAGGGTGTCTGCCTCCCGAACCACAACTGGAAGCTGGTTCCACAGGAGAGGAGCTTGGTAACTGTTCTCTGCAGAGAAGCTAGTACAGGAGAGATGTGATCTCTTTTCCTAGTTCCTTTCAGTACTCATGCTGCAGCGTTCTGAATTAATTGGAGCATTTTAATTGACTTATTGGGGCAACCTGATAATAAAGAGTTGCAGTAATCCATCCTTGAAGTAACAAATGCATGGATTAGTTTTTCTGCATCTGTCTGTGATAGGATGTGTCTAATCTTTGTAATATTACGTAAATGAAAGAAGGCAGTCCTGGAGGTCTGCTTTATGTGGGAGTTAAATGACAAATCCTGATCAAAGATAACTCCAAGATCCCTGACAGTGGTGCTAGAGGCCAAGGTAATGCCATCTAGAGTAACTATATTTTTAGACAGTGAGTCTCTAAGGTTTTTGGGGCCAAGAACAAGAATTTCGTTTTTTTCTTAGTTTAACATCAGGAAATTGCAGCTCATCCAGGATTTTATGTCCTTAAGACATGTTTGTAATTTAGATAATTGATTAATTTCATCGGGCTTGATCGATAGATATAACTGCGTATCATCTGCATAACAGTGAAAGTTAATGGAGTGATTCCTAATAATGTTGCCTAAAGGGAACATATATAAAGTAAATAGTATTGGTCCAAGTACAGAATCTTGTGGAACTCCATGACTAACTGTAGTATTTATTGAAGATTCATCGTTAACATGTACAAACTGGGAACGGTCTGATAAAGATGACTTAAACCAGCTTAGTGCGGTTCTCTAATGCCAATTTGATGCTCAAGTCTCTGTAAAAGAATATTATGGTCAATGGTGTCAAATGCAGCACTAAGATCTAATAGTACAAATACAGAGACAAGTCCATTGTCTGAAGCAATCAACAGGTCATTATTAACTTTAACCAGAGCTGTCTCTGTGCTATGATGAACTCTAAATCCTGACTGAAAATCCTCAAATAAACTATTGTTATGTTGAAAGTCACACAACTCTTTGGCGACTAAATTCTCCAGAATCTTAGAGAGGAAGGGAGGTTAGAAATCGGTCTATGGTTGGCTAAAACCCCTGGGTCAAGAGTGGGCTTTTTAAGAAGGGGTTTAATTACAGCTGCTTTAAAGGACTGTGGTACATATCCTGATAATAAAGAAAGATTAATCATAGCCAGTAAAGAAGTGCCAATTAAGGGAACAACTTCTTTAAGCAGCTTAGTTGGGATCGGGTCTAATACACAGGTTGATGGCGTTGATGAAGAAATTATTGAAGTTAACTGATGAAGATCGATAGCAGAAAAACAGTCTAAAAATATATCTGCGTTTACATTAGTAAAAGTCCCTGCACTTGGAGAGCCACTGATAACTGTTGATAGAAGTTGGTGATTAATTTTCTCTCTAATAGTAATAATTTTATTATAAAAGAAGCTCATGAAGTCATTGCTACTTAAGTTTATGGGGATATGTGGCTCAATAGAGCTGTGGCTCTCTGTCAGCCTGGCTACAGTGCTGAAGAGGAACCTAGAGTTATTCTTATTTTCTTCTATTAGTGCTGAGTAATAGGCTCCTCTGGCATTACGGAGGGCCTTTCTATAAATTTTAAGATTATCTTGCCAAATTGAGCGATATTCTGATAATTTGGAAGAGCGCCATTTCCTTTCAGATTTCCTAGCTATTTGCTTTAACTGGCGGGTTTGGTGGTTGTACCACGGTGCTAGTCTCCTATGTTTTAATAATTTCCTTTTTATAGGAGCGATAGAGTCTAATGTTGATCATAGTGAGCCTGCAGCACTATCGACAAGATTATCAATTTCAGAGGGACTAAAGTTGTTATAGGACTCTGTTAAATTCAGACATGGCATTGAATTAAACACTGAAGGAATCTCCTCCTTAAATTTAGCTAGAGCACTGTCAGATAGACATCTGCTGTAGAAAGTTTTGCCTAATGGCTTATAATCTAATAGTATGAATAAAAAAGTTATTGACTCATTGACAGGCCTGCCTATATAGCTGACTGCCTATAGACATTTGCAGTGACCTTGCTGAAGGGTTCAACAAACAATTAACTGATGTTGTCATCCTTTCAGATTGGCGGGACCAGATGATAACTATTTTGACTACAAATCAGAAGATCAATTGATAAATTAGGGCATTTTTTTCAAATAAAACTGCATTTGAAGAATATCTATCTATCTATCTATCTATCTATCTATCTATAATAATATTGTGGATAGGGGTCAAGTTGTATTTAAGTACTATTATTAAAACAATTGCAAAATGTATTTCAGGTCAGCTCCCAGTGGATGTTGGAGCGTGAAGTCCAAGGAACCCCCTTTACTTTTCAAAGACCAACAGTAAGATAACACAATTTTACTGTCTCACTCATTTATAATGTGATTTTCAGTATTATTCATTGAGGGTTAACACAATGTGATCTTTAAATCCTCTTCTCTTCTTTCAATGCAAGACCTTTCCTTGCCAGTGGTTTAAGGGAATACTATCCACCAACAGCCAGTTAGCTTAGCTTAACACAAAGACTGGAAACAGGTAACAACAGCTAGCCAGCCACATCAACAGGTTATATTTCGCTTGTATGATTCATTAAAAATTAAAGTGTAAAAAACTATAGCATAACATCTAGCATACAGACATGAGCTTAGTATCAACTGTCTCATCTACCTTTCAGCAAGAAAGAAAATAAGAATATTTCCCAAAATGTCAAACTAAAGGAAAATAACACTCAGTTAATCTACAGGTTGTTAGCTGGTGTAAGGTTTAGAAGTGGAGTTAATTCATATTTGAAAGTTGTAAGGCTCAGAAGTTAATATAATTAATATTTGAGTTAATTTACTAGAAATGTATTTACAATGTTTAGTCAGTTAATCATTTACATATTTTTGTTACACAATTATTATTTACATATTTACATGTTTACATATTTGACACAGTCAGGATATTCTGTTGAACCTGCCTCTGATTCCCTCACGTTTACCTCAGTCTAAGTTGTAGCTTCTGATTGGTTAGTTCAGTCACGTAGAAGGTCCGAACAAGGAAGTGGAGTTGTTGTGAGTTGTGAAGTTCAGTAAAGTACCGCTTGAGAAAGTCATCCATCCTGTTGTTTATTCTCATAAAGAGTGATCCACCACCACATACTGAACCCTCACGTTACACTAGTTAGCACATGCTAACAATTGCAGATGAGATTAGGGCACATAAACAAATTATTAAATAAAAGAATAGAAAAAGACATCACACTGTAAATGTTGATCAGCTCTCTGTTCAATGCATCCAACCTAAAGCTTGACAATTCAATTCAATTCAATTTTATTTGTATAGCGCCAGTTCATAACAGAAGTTATCTCAGGACACTTTTCAAATAGAGCAGGTCTAGACTGAACTCTTTATAACATTATTTACAGAGACCCAACAGTACCACCATGAGCAAGCACTTGGCGACGGGGGCAAGGAAAAACTGCCTGTTAAAAGGCAGAAACCTAGGACAGATCCTTCGGCTCTAGGTGGGTGGTTGTCTGTCTCGACCAGTTGGGGTGAGAGAGAGAGAGAGACAGAGAGAGACAGAGAGAGAGACAGAGAGACAGACAGACAGACAGACAGGTGCACAGCAACAACAGTATTGGCAATGGCAATCTAGCAAGACCATGACAGGAGGCTCCACCGGGATTGATAAGAACCTGCGAGATGAGAAAGCACAAGAACTCCGGGGAAGAAGTGAAGTTAGTAACATGCATTAATGGGACATGAATGAGTGCAGAAAGAGAGAGGAAGACAGGAGCTCAGTGCACCATGGGAAATCCCCCGATTGTCTAGGCCTATAGCAGCATAACTAAGGGATGGTTCAGGACTCACCTGATCCAGCCCTAACTATAAGCTTTATCAAAGAGGAATGTCTTAAGCCTACTCTTGAATGTGGAGAGGGTGTCTGCCTCCCGAACCACAACTGGAAAATGGTTCCACAGGAGAGGAGCTTGGTAACTGAAGGCTCTGGCTCCTGTTCTACTTTTAGAGACTATAGGAACCACAAGTAGCCCAGCATTCAGAGAACGTAGTGTTCTAGAGGGGTAATAGGGTACTATGAGCTCTTTAAGATATGAAGGGGCCTGACCATGAAGAGCTTTATAGGTGAGGAGGAGGATTTTAAATTCTATTCTACATTTTACAGGGAGCCAATGCAGAGAAGCTAGTACAGGAGAGATGTGATCTCTTTTCCTAGTTCCTGTCAGTACTCGTGCTGCAGCGTTCTGAATTAATTGGAGCATTTTAATTGACTTATTGGGGCAACCTGATAATAAAGAGTTGCAGTAATCCAGCCTTGAAGTAACAAATGCATGGATTAGTTTTTCTGCATCTGTCTGTGATAGGATGTGTCTAATCTTTGTAATATTAGGTAAATGAAAAAGGCAGTCCTGGAGGTCTGCTTTATGTGGGAGTTAAATGACAAATCCTGATCAAAGATAACTCCAAGATTCCTGACAGTGGTGCTAGAGGCCAAGGTAATGCCATCTAGAGTAACTATATCTTTAGACAGTGAGTCTCTAAGGTTTTTGGGGCCAAGAACAAGAATTAAATTTTTTTCTTAGTTTAACATCAGAAAATTGCAGCTCATCCAGGATTTTATGTCCTTAAGACATGTTTGTAATTTAGATAATTGATTAATTTCATCGGGCTTGATCGATAGATATAACTGCGTATCATCTGCATAACAGTGAAAGTTAATGGAGTGATTCCTAATAATGTTGCCTAAAGGGAGCATATATAAAGTAAATAGTATTGGTCCAAGTACAGAACCTTGTGGAACTCCATGACTAACTGTAGTATTTATTGAAGATTCATCGTTAACATGTACAAACTGGGAACAGTCTGATAAATATGACTTAAACCAGCTTAGTGCGGTTCTTTAATGCCAATTTGATGCTCAAGTCTCTGTAAAAGAATATTATGGTCAATGGTGTCAAATGCAGCACTAAGATCTAATAATACAAGTACAGAGACAAGTCCATTGTCAGAAGCAATCAGAAGGTCATTATTAACTTTAACCAGAGCTGTCTCTGTGCTGTGATGAACTCTAAATCCTGACTGAAAATCCTCAAATAAACTATTGTTATGTTGAAAGTCACACAACTCTTTGGCGACTAAATTCTCCAGAATCTTAGAGAGGAAGGGAGGTTAGAGATCTGTCTATGGTTGGCTAACACCCCTGGGTCAAGAGTGGGCTTTTTAAGAAGGGGTTTAATTACAGCTGCTTTAAAGGACTGTGGTACATATCCTGATGATAAAGAAAGATTAATCATAGCCAGTAAAGAAGTGCCAATTAAGGGAACAACTTCTTTAAGCCGCTTAGTTGGGATCGGGTCTAATACACAGGTTACTGATGAAGATCGATAGCAGAAAAACAGTCTAAAAATATATCTGCATTTACATTAGTAAAAGTCCCTGAACTTGGAGAGCCACTGATAACTGTTGATAGCAGTTGGTGATTAATTTTCTCTCTAATAGTAATAATTTTATTATAAAAGAAGCTCATAAAGTCATTGCTACTTAAGTTTATGGGGATATGTGGCTCAATAGAGTTGTGACTCTCTGTCAGCCTGGCTACAGTGCTGAAGAGGAACCTAGGGTTATTCTTATTTTCTTCTATTAGTGCTGAGTAATAGGCTCCTCTGGCATTACGGAGGGCCTTTCTATAAGTTTTAAGATTATCTTGCCAAATTGAGCGATATTCTGATAATTTGGAAGAGCGCCATTTCCTTTCAGATTTCCTAGCTATTTGCTTTAACTGGGGGGTTTGGTGGTTGTACCACGGTGCTAGTCTCCTATGTTTTAATAATTTCCTTTTTATAGGAGCGATAGAGTCTAATGTTGATCATAGTGAGCCTGCAGCACTATCGACAAGATTATCAATTTCAGAGGGACTAAAGTTGTTATAGGACTCTGTTAAATTCAGACATGGCATTGAATTAAACACTGAAGGAATCTCCTCCTTAAATTTAGCTAGAGCACTGTCAGATAGACATCTGCTGTAGAAAGTTTTGCCTAATGGCTTATAATCTAATAGTATGAATAAAAAAGTTATTGACTCATTGACAGGCCTGCCTATATAGCTGACTGCCTATAGACATTTGCACTGACCTTGCTGAAGGGTTCAACAAACAATTAACTGATGTTGTCATCCTTTCAGATTTGCGGGACCAGATGATAACTATTTTGACTACAAATCAGAAGATCAATTGATAAATTAGGGCAGTTTTTTCAAATAAGACTGCATTTGAAAAATATCTATCTATCTATCCATCCATCCATCCATCCATCCATCTATAATCTTGTGGATAGGGGTCAAGTTGTATTTAAGTACTATTATTAAAACAATTGCACAATGTATTTCAGGTCAGTTCCCAGTGGATGTTGGAGCGTGAAATCCAAGGAACCCCCTTTACTTTTCAAAGACCAACAGTAAGATAACACAATTTTACTGTCTCACTCATTTATGGTGGGATTTTCAGTATTATTCATTGAGGGTTAACACAATGTGATCTTTAATCTATATATATGTATAGTTGACTGCCTATAGACATTTGCACTGTTCTTGCATATAACTGATGTTGTCATTCTTTCAGATCGGCAGGACCAGATGATAACTATTTTGAGTACAAGTCAGACTTGTCTTCAGTGGACAATGGCCATGTTAATTTTGAAAAGAAAATGTAAGACAGACTTGTGACTTTTTGTCCCAGCAGTGTTCATTTTACTTTGCTGACACAGTTGTCAGTTATGCTGCGTTTTCCACTTATTTGTTTTCTAAATAACAGTTTGCAAATGTGACATACTGCATTCTTGCATCCGAGGATTGTTGTTATTTTCTAATACTTATAGACAGTGGACATCAGCGTTAGTGTCTAGTTATGAGGCATGGAGTAACCTCATCTACACTTGTCAACTTGAGCCTCTTGTAAATGGATGGAATATTCTTTTATAGTTTCTGCATCTTTGTCTTTTAACATGTACAATTTTAGTGTTTCTTTTTTCTTATCGCCTCCTTTCAGAAATTTACCATATGGGATGCCTCAGCCGTGGGGTGGACATGTGATGTGTACTATGAACGTACAAAGGTATTTCTCCTGCATCTTAAACTGTCTGATACCAAAGCTACATCTGTCTAATTTAGCAGTTACATGTATAGTAATGTTACGCGTCTAATGATTTTCAGGTCAAAGATACCGTCTGCTGCGTATCCAGTACCCAGACCTGATCGCAGAGCTCCTGATGACAACAGGTAAAAGTCACTGATCAGATTACTGTCTATTTCATGTGCTGTTATTGAAAGAGTTAAAATAAAAAAAATCTTTGATACATTTAGCAACTTGGTGACATGCTCAGATGGCATTATAAGTGGTGTTTTCATATAAACAATTTGTTCTCACACACAGTCTGGTGTGCTGGTAGAAGTTGAATGTAAATATATACAGTGATACAGACAAGCTCTATAAACTGTAAAAAACAATTGCAAACAATTCAAAGAATACTATATTCAATTCCATACAAGCAAACAGTAGGACCATACTATATGTAATATTATTATATACAGTAGGCCAGTTCCTTGTTCTACACTGTATTTACTTATCATTACTTAGATATTGTCCCTGAAGACCAACCTCTATGTTGCAACACCCTTTACTGGTACATTCTGAATATGAATAACAGAGCAATCATGCTGTTATGACTTTCAGGGCAAAAGGGAACCGTGCAAAGTCCAGTTTGGAGTCACAGAGGACTAATCAGGGGAGGGATTTTCCATCACATCATAAGTAAGACAAAACATGTTGAACTTCTAAAAAGACATACGCACTGAAATCCTCACAGTTACCTTAAAGTGACATTACAATTACAGATTCTTGAGATGGATGGAAAATAGTATTTTTTTGACTTTCAGTGTCTGTCGGGACTATCTGAAGACAAATTTCTCGTCTGAGTCATCCGGTTACTCTTCGTCTGAGACTTCTGGATCAAGAGATTCCCAACATGATGAAAGGCCAGTTTTATATGGTGATATGTGAGACACTTATTACTTATACTACATTAATTGTTGGAGTGCACCAGCAATTTAGTATTGCACTTCTACAAAGATCAAAATCCTATCCAGAGATATCCTTACTCATGGTGTGTCTACACAGCAGCTGCTTTAACTGCAATTTTTCAGCTGCCTGTCTCACATGCTATTTTCAGAACAGATACACACTAGGGGTGTAATGATTCACCAAATCCACGGTTCAGTTCAGACCTCGATTTTTGAGCCACGGTTCGGTTCATACCGCGGTTTTCCCCCGTTTCCCCATCTTGCAGAGAAACAGAGAGAGAGAGATGTTATCTGATATTGCATTAAGCGGATAAGGCAGAAATCTTACATTACGGAGTGTCAGTGAACGCACCACTGCAGATGTCACTCACTAACGTTAGTTTCGGTTTGGACCCACATGCACTTGAAAACTGAATCACGGGTGAGTTTATGAAACGTACTGCTGATGGGGAAAGCCAGCAGAGACAGACACAGGGAGAGAGAGACAGAAAGAGGCGGAGCAAGCAGGCGTGTTTGCCGTGAGTGACCAGAGGTCCAGGCTAGGTGTGTGAGTGTGGGGAGAAGAGAAAGGGAGCAGATTAAAGTAGTAAATAAACTACAGAAGGGACAAACCAAACACTGGCTCCAGATACGGCCTTTCCTGTTTTTCATGGCCATCGCTTCACTACGAGTTGCCACTAAATCCCACCGACATCCTTTGGTTTGAATATAATGTCTAATTGTAGGGATCTGAATAGCCAAAATAACAAAAGAATGTCTATATGAAAAACATTTTTAAGAATAAGGCCTTCTTTAACTAATAGATGGGTAGGTGTTAGGGCTAGGCTCCCAGAAACACTCCACAATGCGATTGCTAGCTAGCTAACGAATGAATCTTTGCTCTGTGTTGCTAAAAGTTGAAGATTGGACAAGGATGTGATAAAAGGGTTCAAAAGCACTTCAATTAACTTTAATGGCTAACACATTGAACACATAGCATACATTTCTATGCTTTATGTAGTAAATAATAGCTGCAATTTATTTCTCTATTTGAAAACAGAAAGGAGGTGATCTGTGACATCTGCCTCAAGTTACCAGCTGTGAAGACTTGCCTGACCTGTGCCATCTCCTACTGTGATGCTGATATCCGGCAGCATTATACTGTGGAAGCACTGCAGAGACACGCATTGACAGATGTGCGTGATGAAATTGAGGAGAAACGCTGCCGGCACTATGAAAAGTCTCTAGATTTCTTCTGCAAGACTGATCAGATGACTATCTGCAGCATTTGTGCACAAATCACAAGTCACAGAGGTCATGACATCATCCCTCAGAGTCACGTTAAAATATCTAAGCCTAAAACACCTGAGACAGGTGAGTAAGGCAAGGGCTATCTATCTATCTATCTATCTATCTATTAAAAAAATAAGTGTCACAAATGATTTCTTGTGCAGGCTTTTCTTTGCCAGTGGTGCCTCCTCCTGGTAAGATTGAGTTCCTGTCAGTGAAGCGAAACTCTGTGGTCCTAAAATGGGGAAGCCCGAAGGGACTGGAGGGGCCTAAGAGGTTCAGAGTTAAGTGGAGATCCTTGGGTGGAGAGGTGGAGAAGTGCTTAGTCATTAAAGAGCTTCATACAATTGAAATAAACAATCTTCAGCTTGGACAACAGTATTTGTTCAGTGTGGCTACAGAAGACCAGGATGGAAATTTAAGTGAATGGGTCACAGAATCTGTTTTCACAGGTAATATCAGAGATGCTAAGATATTTCATATTCCCTTCACTGCATTGTGTTCATATTATTTTGAGAAAATAAAACAGTTTTATTTCAATGAACTGCTCTTTTGCAGTGGTGCCAGCCCCTCAGCACTTAACAAAAGGATATTCAGAGGCCACGGCTTTTTCCTTGACATGGACCAAAGGAGAAAGCATGGAGGGAATTCCACATCAATTCCTACTAACTATCACAAGTCCAGGGAAAGAGCAGCAAGCAATACACACCGAAGAGTGCTACAAGATATTCTCTGATTTAAAGCCAGACACAGAGTACAAGATCACTGTCGAGACAGTGCTGAACAATCAGTACAGTGAGAAGGTCTCTACAACTATACACACAGGTGAGAGGTTATATTGCCTGCTTTTTTATAAATTCACAGCATATCTAATAATAATAATAATACATTTTATTTAAAGGCGCCTCTCTGGGCACTTGAGGAACAAGGTACAATACATAAAAATAAAAAACAGTAAGAAATAAGAACCAGACAGGAAAAAGACAATGTAGAGAGTTAAGTGGGGTATGCAGTTCTGAATAGGTGAGTTATTAGTCTTGATTTGAAGAGGGGGAGAGAGTCCAGGTTCCTGATGTCCGGTGGAAGTGAGTTCCAAAGTTGGGGGGCAGAGCGGCTGAAAGCCCTGCTCCCCATGGTGATGAGGCAGGCGGGAGGGACAGAGAGGTGGACAGAAGAGATAGATCTGAGGGAACTGGATGGGGTGGCGATGTGGAGGAGTTCGGACAGATAAGGAGGGGAAAGGTTGTGGATGGCCTTGAACAGTAGGATTTTGAAGTCTATGCAGAGTTTGACCGGGAGCCAGTGGAGTTGCTGCAGAACAGGGGTGATGTGGTGGACGGGAGGGGTTCTGGTGATGATCCGAGCTGCAGAGTTCTGAACCAGTTGAAGTTTATGGAGGTATTTGTGAGGTAGACCAAAGAGAAGGGAGTTGCAGTAATCAATGCGGGAGGTGACAAGGCTGTGTACAAGAATGGCAGTGGAGTGGGGAGAAAGTGGCGGAGGCGATTAATATTGCGTAGATGGAAATGTGCAGACTGGGTGATGTTATTGATATGCGATTGGAAAGATAATGTGCTGTCAAGGATGACACCCAGATTCTTAACCTGAGGGGAGGGGGAGACAGAGGAGTGGTAGATGGTGAGGGAAAACTGTCAGCTTTTGAAAGGGTTGATTTAGTGCCAATGAGAAGAATAATATTACTATATACAGTACTGTATTACAGGCAACATAAAATATTGGCAGAAACACAACCGTACTATAAGTACTATATAGTACTGTAAGTACTGTATATTTTATACAAAAAAATTATTAGATTAAAATGTTTATTATACAAAGAAATGTTTAGGTCACTATATAATTATAATGAATATATTATGAGATTTGTGTGTGACAAGAGAACACAGTAGAAAGAAAAGTTCTGTTGACCATTCTGCTGATGCTGGAAATGAGAAGAGCCTCTTATTGTGCAGTTGTATTAGGAAAGGGGACCAGTTTGGCATGGGTTTGGGTATGAACCATAGTTTTAAACAAAGGAATGTTTTTACCTGATGCTGGTATGAGATGAAAAGTGAAGGGATCACTGATCCTTATTACAAATGTTAACCTCACCGTGGTGCTAGAGGAAATGTCAGGGAAGATATCTTACAGGATAAGGGAAACATTTTACCTGCTGATGGTACTACAGGAAAAGTCAGGGAATCACCAAAGTCATGAAGATTCATCCAGCATCCATGGCAATCCATCCAATAGCGAAGATTTATTTCAGTCTTGACCAAAGTGGTATACTGACCAGGCCCCTCTTTTGACTTCGCCCAGATACTCTCCAACAAGAAATGCCCATTGTAGTCACTTCCAACAAAGTCTAGGGCTCAGGGCCCCCTGAACCCCTGGTCCCCTTGGCCTGTGCCCATTAGGTCTGTTTGGCAATCTCCACTTCATTAACACCCTTGTTAATTATTAAAAAAAACAACCCAAGATAAACCTGATGACTTATTAGGAGGTATTCCCTCCCTCCTCCAGAGCCACAGAAAACATTATATAATATACTACTTGAGGTTTTAACAGTAGTTGAGAGTAGTACTCCCCATGATGACTGAACTAATATTCTTTTAGACCTACTTACACTTTTGTGTAACTAATAGATAAAGAGCACAGTGTAACATCCTGTACATTTATTGGTCTCTTCATGTTGATTCACAGAGCCATGTCTCAGGAAGGTGCTGTCAAAGATGGGACTTGAAGACTACTATGACAACAAGCTCACACTTAGTTCTGTTCTGGAGATTAATCAGAATGACACATCAGAAAACAAACTTGAAACTGCAAACTCACTTCCTGAGGCCTTCTTGAAGAAACTTATGATTTTGAATAAAAATGCTAGAAGTGTCAGATCCCACGATGTAGACAGAGACAAGAACAATGCCATCAATCCCCTGGACCTGATAACTGCGTTGTTTCTCTGTTCAGATGGCTTTCTTCAGCAGGACATAGTTCTGAAAATGGTACTCTGCCAGTTTGCTCTCCCACTCTTGCTACCAAACCATGAAACAAGAAAAATCACAATGATGCTGTGGACCATGCGTGATATCGTCAGAGCTTTCAGCCCCTCAATCCAGGCGTTCAGAAAGAGAAGCTGTGAGGAAAGAATTGTACTCTCTGATATTCCTCTGGTGTCATTTGTCAGGCTGGGGAGGACATCCTTGTCCAAGTCTCAGATGTTGAACAAGCTGTTCAGTAACACCAGGCAGTGCCATGACACATTTTATCATCACAACATGGAGTGTGGTGATGTCCCCAGGAGGATTTCAGAGGGGCTAGTAGAAATCAGCTGGTACCTCCCATGTGGGAAGAAGACTGTAGACAAATTCACTGAACCACTGGCTGTTGCCAACCTCAGAGGAGACATCAAGGCCTTTGACAAGCAATTCTCGTTCCTTTGCCGAACATCCGCAGCCATTTACATCTTCTGTGATGAATCTGAAGCTGATTACTTCAAGAATCTGGAAGGAAAAGACGTGAAAGCAAATGTCAATTTGATAAGCAGCATGCATGGGAAAACCACGCTCAAAATGATGACGATGAAACCAAGTTTAAAGACAACTAATGTGACCGGGAAGAAAAATACTGATGAAGAGCTAATAAAAGCTCTCCAGGAATCAATCTCTAAGATGTTAGAAAACTGCCCAAACAAAGTGTCTGTGGAAAATCTGGCTGACGCAGCTCGCCAGTGTGGGATCCTGGTTGATGAGGATAGTGATGAATGCCAGAGTGCGCTAAAGAATGCAAGTAAAATCACTAAACAAGTCACTAACGCCTCTGAATTCAAAGACAAAAAACTTAAAGGAAAACAGCTAAGATTTGAGATGACAGCTGCAATGTCAAGCTTCCTTCATGGCGTGGTCACCTCAGAAACACAATGCTACTATTTCCTCAAATGGTTGGAAATGGATCTGGACAATAAGTCCCGAAACCAGCTCTCAGATCTGCGGGATCGATACAAAGACGTTAGCCAGAAATTTCCCCAAGACGCAGAAAAAATTGCGGAGATTGACAAGCAAATATCTGTTTGTTCTTTACGCCTGGATCACTTTTTCCGAGAGTGTGGGCAGCTGTATGAATGTGCGAGTGACCTGCCAGAACTCAGCCGTCAGAGAAAAACCATGGAGAAACTCCCAGCACTGTGTGCTCGGATGCTGCTGGATGGTTTCCCTCTTGAACTTGTTGATGGAGATACAGCAAACATCCCGATGAAATGGATCACTGAGGTGCTTACTGAGCTTCACAACATTATGCAGTCCAACAGCAAGCTCAAGGTCATTACCATCATTGGAGCGGAAAACTCAGGAAAATCGACTCTGCTCAACACCATGTTTGGGGTCAGATTTGCAGTCAGCAAAGGAACATGCACCAGAGGGGCATTCATCCAACTGATCAATGTCAACAAAGACGTTAGAGAGGAACTGGGGTGTGACTGCCTATTGATCATTGACACAGAGGGACTGAAACCTAATCAAATGGTTCAAGATGATTACAGCCATGAATGTGACAAGGAAGTAGTGAGCCTCGCTGTGGCACTAAGTGACGCCACAATCGTGAGCGTTTCCAGGGACAACTCCAGTGAGAAAGACATCTTGGAGATGGTGCTTCATGCTTCATGCTCAAGGTTAAAATATGTGGGAACAAAGCCACTGTGTCATTTTGTACATAGTAACATGTCTGATATGCCTGCTGCAGAAAGGAGGAGTAGTACATATTTGGTAGAACAGCTCAATGAAATGATCCGGAAGGACACTCAGATGAAGAAGGACAAAATCACTAAGATCTCAGATGTGATGCAGTTTGATCCAGACACTTGCAGCTGGCATATTCCTCCGGTTTGGCATGGGACTCCACCGATGGCTCCTTTCAGTGTTGACTATAGTGAGACTGCACATGCTTTGAAAAAGCGACTAATAGGGGACCTCAGAAAGTGCCAGAAAAGGGGTGATCTGACAGATTTTATCAGGACGGTGGAACACTTCTGGAAGACTCCATAAGAATTGAGGCCACATCTGAGAAAAATGCAGCAAATTAGTGTGAACAGAGAAACTGGGAATCAGAGTAATTAATAATTTTCTTTTCAGTATCATCAACAAAATGGAATCCAGTTAAATTTGAAAAAGAAAAGATATCTGGTCAATAAAAACTAGTTTATTGTCACCCTTATTCACTTTTTTATTTACAATGCATTTTTTAAAAGATCAGACCTGTTGAACACTGTACAAATAAAACATTAAACATATACGATTGCATAAAATGAACATGTATTTTTAGACAGTCTGTCTTTTAATTTCCACCTGAATAGGGAAACAGAGGTATGGACCCTAAACAACAAAAATCATCATGTTTGTGTTATCAAATATTTATCAAAAAGATATGACGTTAAAAATTACAGTATCTGCAATAATTTTATTTGCCTGCATTGGTTGAATTATATCAAAAGTGCATATGCTGAAGATAATTCTAAAAGTAATTGATATGTATATGAATTTATGTGGCAGTTTGTAGAAAAAAGATGTATATATAATCTCATGTACTTGCTCTATCATTAACAAAGCACTGACTTTTGCTATCAACTCTACAATAAAAACACACAGTCATATGAAGATTTAATATGTGGCATTATTGAAATTGTGACAATAATTCCTCATACTCATATTCATACACCTAACTTCTTATCAGGTGAGGTAACTTAGTAAACTGCATGTTAGTGTCAGTTCACCTAAATTACTGAAAAAAACAATCTCAGAAATCTTAAATGACGAGGCAACTAAACCCCTAAACTAGGGTTTAGGGATAACCCTAAGCCTAAGAGATACTAATTGTGTTTGAGAAAATGTTTTTTTTTTCTAATTTGTGTGAACTGACCCATGTTACTCATTTGATTAACTACTATATATTTTAACAGTCTACCATCTCCCATCACGTTAAATACATATTATATTCATACAACAGTAACACATTAAAGGGGTTATTTGAGACATGATGGAAGTGAAACTGAAAAAAATTACAGACACCAAGAAGTCTTTGTACATCAAGAAGAATTACATGAACATTAACAGTGTGTAGTCTGGCCCATGTTGCGTTTAGTGCAATAGAGTGAGGTCAGCGAGACATCATTCGCACAAATTCTGTGGAAAGAAAAGGTATGTTGTTATTGTTGAAAAATACCACCTTTAACTACATTATTATTTTCTTTAATCTCCTTTTGCTTCATCCTAAACCTTCGCCTAATAGCTCTTATCAGTACTGAATGCTGCATGCACCCTGAAGAAGACTGTATCATGCCTGATATTATTATACTGTATTTGCATTGTTATTCAAAGACAGTCATTCTCTAATGCCACCTGAAAGCACTGTCTTTTTTTAACCTTTACCTAAAGTATTTATCACTTACCTTCAAAGTCCACCTGTCCATCCCCATTGAGGTCTACATCTCGCAGGATCTCATCGATCTCGCGGTGGTTGAGCTGCTCCCCCATTAGTTTCTTCATGGCTTCCCTCAGTTCCCCAAGGCTGATCTGACCATCGCCATCAGAGTCAAACTGTGAGACAAAGTGGATGGGGTAGAGAAAAAAAATTAAAAAGCATATAAAAAGAACTGTATTACAGGTGAAAGCTGGAGAAAGGGAGTACTCATAAAAAAAAAAGTTGGTCTATTTGGCTGTAAGTTAATTCATTGCATTGCAGACCTCTTTAAAGGCGTCCCTCAGCTCCTTGACACCAATCATGTCTGCAGTCTCAGCGAGCATTTTGGGACCCATCAGTTCCACAAAGTCCTCGAAATCCACTCTGCCGCCACCTAGAGGGGGAGAAAATAATAATGCACGGACAACATTGTTAACTGATCTTTTCTGTGTCTTTAACAAGCAAGAAAATTAAAACCCAGTTGTTATTTATGACACTTGTAGTGCCTAGTGGAGCTTTAGTTTAATGCTAAATGGAGCAAAGTGCCAAGTAAATACCACCAGGCTGTACAATGGCACAATCATGAGGAATTTTCTCTCTACAGCCTGCTGACATCCACAATCCTGGTTTTATATCTATAATTGGAGGCAGGGACAACCTCAAATTCTGTGCTTGTGGGTGGATAATTTTATAAGATATAGACATAGGTTTTTTGTGGTCTCTGTGTATGTGTATACACTGTGTATGTACTGATGTATGCATGTAAGACTCACAGATCTGCTGGCTGAGTTCTATCAGTTCCATCTCTGTCGGCATGTATCCCATAGTCCTCATGCACTCGCCCAGGTCCTTACAGCTGATGAAACCATCCTTGTCCTTGTCAAACTCCCTGAATGCCTCACGAAGCTCTGCAGGGAAGACGTGTGAGAAAAAGAGTGAGATGAATATAGAGATATTAGATATTATATTTTGGGGGCTTTTATTGATAGTGACATCTTAAGAGCAACAGGAAGGGGGGGGTTGACGCACAAAGGGCCACAGGGTGAAGTCAAATCTATGGCCGCATGGAGCATGGGGCTCCAGCTCCACCAGGTGAACTACCAGGGCGCCCAGAGATATTGCGGTTCTAAGTGTATTTAGGTCTTAAATAACACCCTGTATGTAGAATGTTTATGTTATTATCACAGCTTTCAAATTAATCTACTGGTAAAGCAAAATGAGACAAAATTGGTCTAGTCTGTATCGCTTTGAGCTTGTTCCTTTTAGTGGCCCTAAATCACATCCATGAATGTGTGTGCAGGCGGGGGGTATGCAATGGTGAAGTTGGCAATTAAAGAATTTAAGCCTATAAAATGATAAAGCTTGCTGGTCGTAAGACCGTCACTGTCATATGCACATTTGTACCTGGGATGCCCAATACAGCTGAGAACTTCTGATTTGGGTACGACTCCTGCATACATCACCTTTTATAAAGGGTTTATAGGTTGTAACTAATTTCTTTAGTTTCATATATTTTCTATAAAAGGGCTGCACCAAAATCCATTTCTTATCAACACTTTTTTAGACTTTGAATTAAGTCCAACTTGATTTAGAAAAGGTTTAAAAAGGAAAACTCCACTGATTTTAAACATCAAAGTCTGCTTACAGGTCTTTGGGAGGGCTTTTGCATATAAAAAACTGTTGTGAGAGTGCTGCACGAAATTTGATGAATTGTGATGAGTCACTTGAGTCAATGTTGGTTGGGTCTGAAGACTACAAGTTTAAAAAATGAAACAAAGTCTGGGGGTGAGGCATTGTAAAACCTGTATCCCGCTCCTCATCTCTGGTTGAGGCTGGAGCCCGAGGCTGCATTAGGTAATGTAGGCACCAGGTTAAGAGAATAAAGCGTTTATCTATATTTTTAAAGGTGTTCTTCTTGAGCCTGACAATGTTATAAGAGTGTAATGCTAAATCAGGAGTATTCTTTTTACTGCATTATAACGATAAACACCTGCCACCTGCCCTGGCTATGAATGGCTTATAACAATGGGAAACTATTTATTAACTTTTACATAACCATTATAATTTATTATGCCTTTTATAACAGTTGCCTTATTTGAAAGTGGTACCCTGACTTAATATGCCAAATAAAAGTGTTTAAGTGATTTCTTTAAAAAAAAAAAATAATTGTGATTTCACCAAATTTATTGAATTTCTACATAAAAAAATCACAAATTTCAGTGACATTTACTCCATAGTGAAATCATTCCAGTGAATGTGGAGAGTGAAGACCAGACCTGAGGAATGTTAAACGGTGCTTAAATTTAGAAGAATATTCTTTTCCTTTGAATAATAATCCTTCACTTTGATCTTCCGCGGTTCAAATAAGAAGAAACATTTCTGCTGGTCCACATTCAACGAGAAGGCAAACTCAGGGAAGTCTTTGTAAATTTTGCTCTATTCAGTAAAGCACAATTTTTCACAGTCAAACAACAGGTTTAAGGTTTGAGGTTTGAAAGGAACGTGGTTCAGGGGAATAACTGAGGGAGCGAGAGATGGAGGGAGGATTTGGATTAAGATTTTTATATCTCTGTACCTTCCATTTCCTCTGGTCGTAGATCTCTGTCCTGTGGTGGTGCGGATATAAGAAATGACAGACACAGAGAAATGGACAGGCGGTCAGGTTACACACATACTTTCAATATCATTCTGTGTATCAAAACAGGCAGGAAACATTTTAACGCCTCAGCTGGTTCCTTCAATTCTGTGAAGCATTTTTGTTCCATGTTCAACTGCCTCAGCAGAAATTCTGTTACAGGATTATTTGATTTTTGATCTGTCTGACCCTAATAACCTTTTTAGTTGATCTGCTACACAATTTTGTGTCCAATCTCATTCTGGTGGAGAAGCTTTGAGCCTGCTGTGCATATGCTCCTTAACAAGCATTTGAAATGTATTATAAAAAACCCTTGCAGATGCAAAGTGACAAATCAAACACACTCCCCCTGGCCTCTCGCTTCCTTTCCAAACACACACACACACACATAAATAAGGCACACATATCTGTATGCACACACACATGCAACAAAGCTGATGAAATGGTTTGTATGTTGATAATATTCAGAGAAATATAATATTATTATTTTTTTTTTTATTACAAAAGGGAGTTAATGTCTAGAATTTATTATAACTTAGTTCAAACAGTAACACTTTTAGCTACAGCATCACAAAAATGTACAGTTACGGTTTATGTTGAATTGGTAAAGCCAAAAGGTGATGCCAGGATACGTCTGTTCACAACGTGTTCTGCTAGGCTATGACATCAGTAGCAGGAATAATACAGGCCTGGATTAGAGAATGCAGGAGAGAAAACAGTGGTAGGGAGATTACAGCTGTAAATTGTATTCCAAATCACGAAGGCTTATTGGTTTTTCATTTCCCTATCTGCTTCTGATTTTTCCATCTGCATCTGCATCTGCATCTGCATCTGTACTGCGGTTCGGCCGGCACTTGATTAACAAACATTAACACACCTGCACAGGCTAAACCTACAGCAAACACAAACACAATAACTGCTGGTTGTCTTTTTTGCTGAGATCTGTGACTGTCAGGTTGAGCCAAGTTCATGCACAGAGGCAGGGAAGCAAATGTTTTCCCATTTTGGTAGGTTTTCTGCCTTCTCTCCTAAACTGCTAAGTATCACTAATACTACTTCCACTGATTGCTTTAAAAAACTTCTAAAACCCCAGCAACCCAGTATCAACAAAAGTTTTTGAAGGAAGAACATGTTGGCACCACTATTTGCTTTCAAATGCAAACTAGAACATATGTATAATGTGATGCTTAAGGGGTATTTATCACATGTCTTCATTTTAGTTAGTCATTTTCGAGAAAAAAAGGGAATTATGGGGGATTATGAACTAGTAAAGGCTATCAATCACACCCTATCCATTGCATAGACTAATCTGTGTTGAGGAATCCCATCTCTTTCCTCAATCTAAGAATATAAGTAAGATCAGGAAGCTGTCCGACAGGTTCAGGACTGTGCTGCTCAGAAAGGCTCCTGCTGGGCTACTTGATTGATGTAAGAAAGCCCAACACTGCTAACTTAACAAGAACAAGAGTCTGAGCGGCTTTGTGAGGATGTACTATACAGTACGCACAGCTTTGACCTAAATGCTAGTGTCAGCATACCAATATTGCTCACAATGACAATGTTAACATGCTGATTTGATTAAATTGGAACATTATACATGCTACTTAGCTGGTGTAGCCCTAATGTTTACTATTTTCATCATCTTAGTTTATTGTGTTTTATCACAAAATGTAAAATTGGCAAAATGATTAGCAAAGAGTGGCCTATTAACAGATAAACATTAGCTTTCTTTTGCATTAGTGTTTCTGGTAACTTGAAACATAAGACCAATATTCATTCTCCTCTAAGCTCAGTGTTTGGTGTCCACTGACTCCTGAGAAAAATGCTCAGGATTACCAGCTAGTTGGTAACTGCATTTGTCTGACAAAGTAGCCAACAGTGCATTCAGACATATAAAAACAAAGAGACAGAATGTCTTTTGCTATTAGACATGTTTGAACTGAGCATTTTATTTATGTATATATCGAGATCTGACTGGGCAATAAGGCAATTGTTTTCTGCTGCATGTTGGTTCTCGGTGCCAAAAAAGCAGCCAGTTTTGTTGTTAGTGTCAATTTTAAAATTGGAATTAAGTCATTTTTTGGCAACTTGGGGCAGTGTAAAGTGGAGCTGTGTTTTCTGGCCACAATATTCTATCTCCTTTTAGCTCTCTTTTAACTCCTGAGAAAAATATCTGGTTCTAAATGCTGCACTATGTTCACCAGCAAGGGGCTAACTGTGTCGGTATGCAGTTTTACTGTGCAAGTAGTGTACAATGGGTTTATCAAATAGGTAATAGAAAACAGCTGCTGCAGCTATCACGCTGATGAGAGTGGGAATGGTGAATGAAAATAGTGAAGTTGCTGGCCGGAAAACTAAAACAACGAGATAAAAGATGCTGATTCTTCATGTTCATCATCATCATCACCACCATCAGTCACTACTATTAGTGTAGTTGTTGCTACTGTTGCTGCTGTGCACCTTTGTCTCTGTCCTTCTGTCGTTACCTCTGTTCTCTCTCTCTCTCTCTCTCTCTCACCCCAACTGGCCACCCACCTAGAGCCGGGGTCTGTCCGAGGTTTCTGCCTCTTAAAAGGAAGTTTTTCCTTGCCGCCATTGCCAAGAGCTTGCTCATGGTGGGAATTGTTGGGTCTCTGTAAATAATGTTATAAGGAGTTCAGTCTAGACCTGCTTTATTTGAAAAGTGTCCTGAGATAACTTCTGTTATGAATTGGTGCTCTACAAATAAAATTTTATTGAATTGAATTGAATTGAATTGAATTGAAGCGCTCACAGATCGGCAGAGTCAGGTTATAATTCCCTGTAGATTCATCCCTTCAATCGACCATTTTCACATTACACAATTGTTTATGCAAAATAATTGATTATAGCAGCTTCAAGATAGTCCTTTTGAAACAGAGTTGGTAACGCTGTCTCCGGTGTGTCCCATTGCATTGCCTTGAAACTATCACAACATTGAAACATTGTGATAGACATTCATTCAGTTGGACATTAACAATCCTAGGCTGTAGACAAGAATAGTGCTCTTCATGGCCCACGTTTACAAGACTGCCTTCAACTTTTTTCACTGGGATTTCATCTGTCAATTCTTTAAAAACACAGCGTGGTCAACAAAAAAATCACGTAATGGTATATAGAGTCTAAATAACAATAAATCACAGATGTGGTCAGTCAGTTTTGTTACATTTCTCCTCTAGACTCAGCCCAAGGTCTTCCAGTACCTTAGGAACCTAAAGCTCAGTAAAGCCTGTGATCAGTGACTATATAGCGTCCTAATGACTCTTTTCAATTAGCACTGCTACTTCCACTGTCAGGAAATTACTCCGGTATTGATCTCTGCTACATACCCTGTTTCTACATTAGACATTCATCTGAAATAAAAGGCAAGCATGATATCTCCAGCACTGTTAGAAAGTGAATTTATGATCTAAAGTACAGTCTAGACAAATTGGGAGTCCGGTTACTATGTTATTATTTTACAATCTGACATATTTTTTTTTCTTTTTTACAGCTTGCAACTCCTATAGGGCATGCAGTATGTGTGAGATATCCTTTCTTTCTTTCTTTCTTTCTTTCTTTCTTTCTTTCTTTCTTTCTTTCTTTCTTTCTTTCTTCCTTCCTTTCTGTCTTTCTTTCTTTCTGAATATTAATATATTTTATTTTTCTTTGCACCAAAACAAATAATATTCAGCAAAAAAGGTCTTTTGATACAATCATATACATTCTTATAATATATGGTGATATGATGGTACATAGACACTCACAGGGTGAAATTCTCATTGGTGGAGATGGGATGGGAGGGCTGAGATGATGTCACACTGAACTGATGGATGGCCTTAACTTCCCTTTCACTTGGACAGTGCTATGAAAATGGATAAAGAGATTTATGGGTGATTTTGGCTATGATTCTGTACTGTGTGTGTGTGTGCGTGAATGTCATACATACAAGCTGGCTCTGTGCGAAGCCCTGTCTGAGGAAGATACAAGCAGGCCCCACTAAGTTGTGCAGCATGTTGCAGTTCTGAACCAGCGCGCACAGGGGCTCATCGAACTCCCGCTCGCTCCCTCCTTCCTCCTCGTCATCCGTGTCCACCTCACCTGCACCACCCAGGCCCCCGAGCATGGTGGCAGATAATGGGGCGCCGCTTCGTTCTACGGACGACTCCCCCTTAGAGGAGGGGAACCAACCGAATTAGGATGAAGTTACGACTTCAGTTCCACTGACTGCAATGAAACTCACTAACTCACATGTACATTCTCGTAGTGTTATGGCTGTCATAAGTGAACATTTAATATATATATATATATAACAATAAATATGGTTTATCAAAACAAAATCCTTTTGGTGGTTGTGTCCATTAGGAAGTTGTTTCTAGCTCTAATGTAGCTTTGAAACTGTCAAATGTCTGACAAGCTTTCACAACTGATTAGGCTTAGATAGACATCCACAGCGTTATCTGACAAATCAGTTCAAGCTCACTTTGATAAATCTATTTCTCTCAGTTGAAGGCAATTAAATGAATCCTTACCTTCTTCCTTTTACTGTTCTTTTTAGAAGCTTTGTTGATGTTTCCCATCACCCTGGCCTCTTCTTCCTCCCCCCGCCCGCCCTTTCCTCCCCCTTATTTGTCCCCACACTTCTCCACTAGTTTCTCTCCCTTATTGCTCAATTGTCACATAAAAGTCCAAAGTCCAGACTAAATCCAGTGCAAATCCACAGTGTAACACCTCTCACACCCAGTGAGGAGCTACTGCTGAAAGCGAATGAGGATTCCTCTCAGTGCATGTGCTACAATCCAAGCTCCTATTGGTCCAGTGAGAGGCAAGGTAGGCATAGGTTCCAGCATTAAATCCTATACTCCTATAGCTTGTTGGAGGCTGTAATGATGAGCTTTGAGATATGTTGTGTGATATTATGGAGCAGCAGGGTGCTAAAGATTGACGGGGTAGGGTGGGAGAGCTGGGTCATATCTGGGCTGAAACAACCTGCTGCTGCCAGACTCTGGCTCTGATTGCATGACTCGACCATTTTCTCCCTCCCTTTTTCATCCCTCTGTGCCTCTCTCTCGCACAAACACACTTTTTTTCTCTATTTATCTGTCACCCCCTCTCGCCATGAGTGATCCTTTGAATTTGGACCAACTTAATCTAATCCATCCCTCCCACCTTCCCCTCTCTGCCTCTCAAACATCATCCTTATATTCTCAAAATGACTAGTCTGGCAGAACTCTGTGTGTTTGTGTGTGTGAGAGAGAGAGAGACAGACAGACAGAAAGGGGGAGGGGATGGTAGAATTATGGATGGAGAATTGGCAGCATGTTTAATCCCTGGAATTTCAGATTAGAGGGAAAGAGTTATTTTGACAGGCCATGGGAGTGGGATCTTGAAGTGGGAGAAGTAGAGGCAAAGTATTAATATTACTCCGGCCTTTTCTAATGACAAAGAAAGGGAGAAACAGTGGGACAGATAGTATAAATGTGTAAAGAGAGGAATGTGTAAGAATGAAGAAAGTACTTATATAAATATTGGAAAGGGGGACATACAACAAATTACAGTGAAAGTGAAAAAAGATTGATTTCTATTGGATAACAAAAAAAGTTCAACCTAAAGGCATTTTTCACTAGCTGTAGAATTTTTGTTTTTAAATCACATTTTATTTAACAACATGTGTTTTAATTATATTTATTTATATTATTTATATTATGTTCTTACATTATGGTCTGTAAATTAATGATTTGCAACTCTGGTGGAGAATACTATTTTATTTTTTTAATTAATTTTGTGAACCATCAAACTTCGGAATATTTTATAAATATCATATTTTATTTAAATCTTTATGACATGTATGACATTCTGATAGATAATAATACATTTGAACTGGTTTGGTTAAATTTATTAGAATATAGAATATTAGAATGAGTCATTGCTTTTAGCTTGTTCATTAGGAAAGGTAGGGAAGTAAGAAAGTATTGTGTAAGTGTGGTACTCATAAAACCACCAGATGGCACCACAGAAGAGGAAATTCAAACCACAATGGTTCTAACATGAGATAAATATAGGTGTCTTTTGGTAGAAATCCTGTCTGAAAAAAGGAACTTTGCATTGTAGGCAAATGTTACTGTACAAGACTTACTTAATTTCATTCCTACTTTTCTTTCTTCTTCCTCTTTCTTTTTCTTTTGATATTACTTCATTGCAACCCCTACTATGAGAAAGGATTATATGGTCATATATACTCTTACAAATAAATTAAAACTGCAGTATATGAGGCTTTGATACGAATGATCTTGTGAACTGTCACTTCCTCTAATACACATTCTGATGCTTAATTTAGTCCAACAACTGTGGGTGTTAATATATATTAAGCCTATTGTTGAGTTTATGTATGTAAACCTACACACACACATCTGCAGTATCTACTATAGATGCCTGTTGTATGGTGCTGGTCATGTGGTGCTGTATGTGCCAGAGATTAAAGCAGTATGTGTAAGGCCTAATCCCATGCAGTCGGAGAACTAACACATTTTTCTATCTCGCTACATTTCCTCACATCTTTCTATAAGACCTCTCACTAGCCCTCCATCTGTTTCCGGAGTTTCACCCCTTTATATTTTTCTCAACATATTACTGATTCTCCATCTTACATACATAGTGCAGCCACCTTTTCAGTGCAGATCTCTCCACACTGCTGCTCTGATTCTGATTCCTTTCTTCTATACCTGGGCCATTACACACTATCAACTAAGCTTGTGAGATCAGAGGAAATAGGACAGAATACACGCTTTTTAATTCATCGTGAGATTTTGCAAGAATCAAGATTTACCCATGAGCAACTTTCTGACACTTTACACTTTCAATGTTCCGCCAGAAGAGCGCAGCAAAGCTCATCTTATCGCTCCAATGAAAAGATGAACTTGCTCAGATGTAATACTTATACACCACCACCAGATGTCAGGAACATCTGAGTGTTTTTAGACTTCACACTTACCAGAAAGAGAGAGGAGAGATACAGCAGGGTGAAGTTGTGACTGTGGAGATTTTGAAAAACCTGATTTCGAGCCCCAATGGTGCAATCACTGAATCTCTATCAGCTCCACAGACATGATGCTCAACCTGACCCTGCAGTCTGACCTTTCTATGGACTTGGGGGAATTAAAAAAAAAATTCCAGTGAGAATCTATTAAGCAGAGAGGACAGAGAGTGATGAGATAACTTGTGACAAAGGATTTGCATCCACAGTGTCTCAGTTATATAATAGTATGTGCCTTAGCCCACTGATCCAGCTGGACACCCACCAGATTAGCAAATGGAAGCCTCAGTCCTGGGCTTTTTTCCTGCATTGTTTCCCATCATATATTTCACAAACGTGCACAGAATGTTTCAGCTTCATGTCATCGTGCTTCCTTTAACTGCAACAATGGCTTAGGGTGGAATTAAGTGGAGATATCTTGCACAGATAGGGTCACACATTAAAAAGTAGACACATGTACATGTAGGAAAGCACATGCACATAGGAAGGAAAAGCTAAATAGGTTTTTGTCTGGCTCAGTAGAAAAAAAAGAAGCACTGACACCCGGCCTCAATCAACAGCCCGGTGTGAACACACAGCTTTACAATCATAAAACCCAAAACAGAGCAATTGGGTGAGAATTCATGCTCTATCCCTCGACAACAGCAAGCACACCAGATGCCTGAAAGACAAGGACAGAAGGTAGGCCAACAGAAACTCCAATGACGGGGCAGTAAACAACATGATGGATGAATTCCAAAAGGCTGGATTTTGCATGCCATGCTATGCTAACAGCTTTGGAGTAGGTCAGGTCAAACATTTGTCTGAGACAGGGTGTTTCCATGTGAATTTGGATGCTTATACATGGTTGACATACAAACACAAAGTTATCGCAAATGCAGTTTATCAGTTCAAATGAGGCAAACAGGGTGACCTGTAAATTTAAACTATGCAGATACTCAACTTCAGCCATACCATAGATAATATCATCAGACTGTTACAACATCTCCCTCATGGTTGGTTCCATAATCCCAGTGTATTAAAAACGGGTAATAACTTTGTGCTTCGTACAGAAGCCTGTTTGACATCAGAACTTGAACACAAATGTAAGGGATGGGCTTATCCCATCATTCAGCCTTTGTCTGTATACTCTGTGCCGTCCATACATTGAAGAACGCCTTCTGACCTTTAATGTGTGCTGATTACTCTGGCAAATGAATTTGTACGTTCCATCTGATAAGACATCTGCAAGATGAGCTGCAAGGAGGAGGATCAAGCGGAGGTGAATTGAGCTGAACCCAGCTGAGTTATGATTGGTCTGAGTTGCTACTCTAACGTAGCCCAGAGCTACGAGGCTAAAATCACCTGTCAGAGCCGAACATTTATAAAACAGCACTGTATAGACAGATACTGAATGTAACAAAAACACAAAAATTAAAATATAATTGATTAATCAGTCCTGGAGGCAAGGCCCACAAGATGTCACAATGCTAAAATCCTTTTTTAAACCGCACTAATCAATTTTATTCTATCAATATAGTTAATGTTATAAGGGTCAGTTGTAGTGACTAGAGATGCGAATAAACTGTTATCTGTTCAACCAACTAAATTATCCGTACTTGGAAATGGTGGGGCTTAAACCGGATGTTGGTTGTGCTGAAACATGAAATGGGCAAGACTAACTGTAGGTTTTTAATTTAACCCTGCATTCATGTGGTGGAATAATTGGAAAAATTTGCTCTCGACTGGGAAAACTGAAGGGGAACAAACAACTTTGAAAGTTAGCAAAACATTTTAGGACACAAGTTGCCATCATATTACGATTTGATTTGTAATATGGTAAGTTCTTCTTAAAAGTCCGGTCCATCCATTGACAGATAGAAGCTGTTTCTGATTCAACATCAGAATTGCTTAGTTCAAAATAAAATCAGTTCTATTTCAGAGATCGATACAGTATTTAACATCAATTCAACAGCCTTTCTGTGCATGTGTGTCCTTTTGAGAGTGAGATCAGCTCCAACAAAGAACGATGAAAACCATACATAAAATATTAAACCTATTTAATTATATATTGAGTAATAGCTAGTGAAACCATTATCAGACCTGAACTCTGGACTACCTATCACGACAGCAGTAGTTCATATAAGGAAAAAGTGCTG